GCTAAGACGACTAGCGCCGCTATTATCAATATCACTTGCTATTATCGCTACGCCTATAGATACAACCTTACCTACACTACGAGCCTAAGGCACCTTTAATCAAACTTTAATTAAAGCTTTGAGCCTGTTAAAGGTTTAATCAAAACTTTAAGGCCGAGTTAAAACTTTAAGCCGCTTAAAAGGTTAAGTAGACTAATAGACTAACTAACTAAGGGCAAAACTATAGAGCTAAGCTAGCCGGGGTCGATCTTGTAGACAATAGGTTACTCCTCGATCTATCTAACCCTTTAAGCGAGGCGAACCTCTACTACTGCACTTATAATAGCCTTTACCTATAGAAACTAGACGAGCTATATTTTTTCGGAAAAGATAAGATAAGATTGACAATCGAAGGCTACTAAACCTAGCCAATTAGGGCTAGCGAAACTACGAATAATAAGAACAATAACCCTCGGAACGGACAAACCCTCGGAAGCGGACATTGCTAGGTCTTTTAAGAGTAGACGCAAAGAACTCGATACGACATTACTTAGAACGGAGGCAGTACTGCAATACCTCGTACGTCTACCTATTATAGTAGGGAAGACGCGCTCGTATCGTAATTAGTCGAAGGCCTTTAATTCTTATAGATATATATCACTTTATAGTTTATTATATATAGAGATAGCGTAGTTAGAGTTGTATATTGTGTTGTTAGAGGTGAGGTTTAACATAGTTACATAATCAGGTAGTTAAGTGTTCAATTTAGCGCGGGCTAAGCAGCTTATTAGACCTACTAAGTTAGTAGCAATAGAGGTTGAGACTAGGACAAAGACCGGCTACGAGGGCGCGGCCTTTAGAAGGGAAGCGTATATTAGGGCTAAAGAGGTTATACGTAATTGGTATATAACTAGGCCGAGTGAAGCTAGGGTCTTAATGCCTTAGGCAGGGCTTAGCGCTTAGCGTTAGGCTAACTCTCCTACCTTCCTCCCTCTCCTCCTAGCTCCTTATCGAATACTACTCGTACCTACTACTACCCTATCTACCTGCTGATATACCCTTCTTACATAATTATATTATCGACGTAGATAACAATAATCGAGCCGCTAACGTGCTTAAATACATAGACGTCGGACATTATTAGAATAAAGTCTAGGCTCTTTAAGTACTTCCGAAGCTCTTTATACTACAGCATTAGTAACTGCTTTAGACTATATAGAGCCTTTAGCAGTAGGCAAACTATGCCCTTGCTACTACGGTCTTTAAAGCCGTATAGCTGTTTAACGTAGATCTTGTACTTGTTACTAATAAGTGCGTTAAGGAAGGCTATTAGAATGTCGTATTGCTTAGCCTCTAGGTCGTAATAAGCAATTAGGCCAAACAGCGCTCGTAGTATAGAAGGCTTAGCTACTACCGTATAGGTCTTATCGTAGTCCTATCCCTTAACCTAAGTAAAACTACGGACGACCTAACGAGCCTTAAACCGGCTTACCTTGCTATTAGCGTTACGCTTAATAGTAAACACCTATCGGCTACGAACAACCTTCCTACCTTCTAGCACCTCTAACCGAGATACATAAACCTATATATAGTTGTTAATTAGTAACTTGTATTTAGCCTCGTAAGCTTCCTTCTACTATAGCTAATATAGCGACTAAGTTGCTTTCTTGTAGCTCTTCGGAATAGGAATAGTCTCTTTAGGCTTATTAGACTGTTTAGTAATGTAATAGGAAGCTATAAAACCCTTAATATAGGCTATCGGCATGTTAGCTATTGTACGTCGAGTTAACCGCTTAACACTACAATTAGCTAGATAGCTACGCAATAGGTCTCGAGCCGACTTATTGCTCCGTGTCTTACGCGTAGAACGATTACTAACAGCCTTAGTAGGTCGCTCAAACTTAGGCAACTAGCCTAGCTCGCCCTTCTTAGCGTTTAGATTATATACTAGCTCTTCCTCGGCTAACTAAAAGCTATCTTTATTACTTGAAGTTAGTAGTTAAACTAGTTGAACGTCTAGAAGGTCGTTATCGATTAGCAACGGATTAGCGACCTTATCGGCCATTTCCTATATAGGTCCTTGTTTAGGCTATTCTTCTTACTAAGCTAGAAGCCGCTAGACTATACTAGTAGCTTCGGTAGGCGACGGAGCCTCGTTGCTTATAGAATTGAACAAAGCCGGCATAATAGACTTAAGGGTAACAAACTCGTTCTTAGAAGGGTTATTAGGATTAGTATATAGATCTATGCTATTTAGAAGTAGAAGGTTACTATCTAACTTAATAAACTAAACATCCTTAGAAGCGATAACCTTATATTAATTAGGTAGGTAGATTATATACTTTCTAGAGTCTATAGAGCCCTTAGTATAGCCAACTAGCTTGCTAATAAGACCTCTACTGTCTATCTTCTTTCTACGAGCGATACTATAATCGTATACAATAGCAGTACAGCTATAGGCTCGAAGGTGCTAAAGGCGTAGCTGCTTTCGAGACCAATTGAGCTCCCTAGCTACAATAGTATAGGGGCTAAGACCTTCTAGGGTTCTAGGTGTAATATTAAGGACCTATATAGCGGAGGCAATAGTATATAGCTATAGAGACTTTAGAAGGTTAGCCTATAGCATTATCTTTCTCGTAGTCGTATATACGATATAATTGCTAACCTTAGCAAGGCTATTCTAAGTTAATAAATAAGGTATAGTAACTTGCAGTACAATGCCCTCGTCTCGAGCTTAATTTAATAGCTAATTTCCGCCGTATTTACCCCCTCTATCGAGGCGGTAGATTAGGATTAAGTAACTAGTCTATATACAGATATATATACGATAGTCCTTAATAGCTACTGCAGCCCCTAACTTAAGCGTGCTAGTATATTCGTGTCGATAGCCTAACTTAGCGCATGTGAATAGTGTAAAATAGCGCTCCTATAATAGACTAGGATTAGTAATAGTAACTATATCTACACAGACAATGTAATAGATCGTAGATAGTCGTACGCGTAGCAGCCGATTGTATTCCTTATGTAATATAGCTATACGACAGGCAATGCAGTTGCGGAAGTCCTTCTTAGTACTAGTAATAACAATCTGACCCTTAGATTCTATTCTTAGCAGCTTACGGTAATAAATATAGCTATATCGCAGATGCTACTTATCTATAGTGCCTGTAGGCACCCCCTTCTTTAACAGAAGGGCAACTACTTCACTATCTAGACTAGAGGTTAGTATATAGAGGTAGGGAAGACTATTCTTACGGTATGTCTAAGCGACAGTAACCTTATTGCCCTCTACTATCGTAAACAGGATACGCTTATTATTTCGGTAGAAACAACCCTTGTCGGCAAGCTTCTTAGTAGATAGAAGGTTAGCTACTAGACCTAGAACATACAGCGTATTAGATAGCTTTATATTGCTAATACTACGCTTATTAACAACCTTAGTCTAAGCTATACTAACTATCGTAGCGTGCTTCGTATTGCTACTAAACCGGACAGGAATGTAGCAGCCTTTATATTTAATAAGTAGTAAGGGGTTATTAACTATATATATGCTAGTATCTAAGTCGACAACCTAATTAGTAGTACGAGTACTAGCCGTAAGAGCCGTAGAAACCTAGTCGCTAATAGTAACTATAGTAGCGCTTATAGTAAAGGCGTAATTGTAGTTTGGGTCTAATAACACCCCTAGGGTAGCATTAGCCGTATACAGCCCCTAAGCACTATTTTAACTACCCTAACTAGACGGCTACTATTGCTACTAAGCAGTTAACGCCTGTTATTGCTTCTTCTTAGCCTTCTGCTTCTCGCGACGAAGACGGTCTTCCTCCTTTAGATAAGGATACTTAGTATAGCAGCGGTCGGAAGGGTAAGTGCCTTAATAGTAGGAGTACTTCTTACGGTTAGACTAATAACTACTCTAGTTGCTTCTACCGCGGCCTCGACCGTTGTTATTGTTTCCGCGGCTACTACGACCGCTACGGTTCGAGTTACCTCGACTATTGCTATTACTATTACTACCTTGCTATTATAGTTAGCGTTAAAGACTAAAGAAGCCGTTATATTAGGCCTAGTTCAATTAAGCTACATTCTTATTAAGTAACGCGCTAATAATATTGTTAAGTATGTTATCGTTAATAGTGTATTCGGAGGCGCGCATCTGCTCTCGGCGTATCTATACGAAAGCCTCGTAGAATAGAGAGATCTATATAATAAATATATAGATAGCCTAGTATTAGCTAATAGCTAATTTAGTATCCCTTAAGGCACTAAGCTTCTTTTTATACTTATTATAGAACTTCTTAATGTCCTTACTATTATACCGAAGGATAATATATTCCTAGTAGAGCATAAATTTAGTAGACCTACCTTTACTAGTATATTTCTTATATAGGTAAGTCTATACTTCCTACGATATAGCGAGACTAAGTAACGACTACTAAACCTCGGCAATATAGTTAGCAAAGATCTACGTATGCGCTAATTAATCTTTTGCTTCCTATTTATCTTGTCGGTCTTCAAAATCCAACTAAGTTTTAGAAGACAACTTAATATTAGGCTTTAGGCGGGTCCCCTAGATATAGCGCTATACCTATATGCCTTTAAGGGCACCCTTAGCGGCATAAGACTATAATAGATAATTCTCCTTATTCTTTAACTTAGGGATATTGCTTATATAAGCGTTAGAGGTTGTAGGGGGAGCTATTACAGACAGCGACGGCGATAATATTAATATAGAAAGAGACTATAGACTTGTTTTAAGAGGCGGCCGATAGGCGCGCCTATGTTCTAGTATAGCGGACAGCTAATACTAATATAGCGGACAGCTAACACTGATAACTCGAGTCGGACTAGTACCTACTAGAACCCTCGAAAGCAGCGGCGACGATAATAGTATTAGCGTAACTTTTAGTAACAAGCGCTAGCTACGCAGCTATCGGAGTAACTATTAGAATACGTAGTAAACGTGTTGTATGCGTTAGAAACGCAGGGGGCTTATAACTACTTGATGTAACTGATGTTATTCAGAAGAAGGACTATCTACGGAAAGTCCAAAGATAAAGTACAGCAGTTGCAGCCTCAGGCATCAGGCACGTGATGGACCCTGACACCTGGACACACACTCCAAGTTTCAAGAGAAGTGAAAGTGCAGAAAGCGATGCAGCAGGATCGCAAGACCTTAAAGACTGAGACTTGACGAAATCTACTCGGGACATATTTGTCGCAGGCCATACCTCGAGATATTACAAGGCCATGTGCAGGTTCACCACACATAGATGCGATAACTCACGCCTGGGTAAGTTGCAGAGAGATAGGTTGCTGACTGCCAAGCAAGCAGCTGAGCATTCTGTTGCGAGAGGCTAGTTTTGATTCCGGGCGATCTGAAAGGCTACAGGGACAAGAGGCCTGGCGTGATCGCCTCACGACTTTCGAAGAGCCAGGCAACCAGGGAAGAGATATATGAACAATAATATTTGCTGACCGATTCGCTTTTAATGAACTTTCAAGTATCAAAGCACTTCCACGATGACGTGCTCTCATAGACTTGAGCAACGTCCAAGGCGACATCCTTCTCAACGGGTTGAAATAGGAGGTGAGTCGATGAAAAGAAGACGTTCGAGAGCTCCAGCGACCACAATCTCTACATTGAGCACCAATGTTCTATTCACAATTCTTGGGCGAGAGCTCGACCCCATTTAGTTACCATAGATCGAGACTTTCTTGTTCTTCACGATCACTCCGGGGCAAGACAAGAAATTCTGCCAGAACTTGAGAGAAGTCGCGAACGGCATCTTACACACGCAGAACAAACTCGATAGCAAGCAGAATATTAGGACTTCAAAACCTCGCCTTCGCAATCTGCAGCCCAGTCCGCCCGGCGAAATAAAGGCCACAGACCTTTCGATTGCTTAAACGGCTCATCCCAACTCCGTATCAAAAACCTCCCCGGTCGGATCAAAGAAGAATCCTTCTTCCCACCAGGTCAAGACCTCATCGACCATGGCATAATCCTCTGCGGCCGATCAGGTAACTTATTAGCCTCGCGTCATCTAGTCTGGATGGTGTACGGAAGTGTCCTGCGGAAACTCCAATAAATTGTCCAAGCCTAGGCAAAAATTCTCCATAGATTCTTCTTAATACCTTAGGAAGACGGCCCGAAATTTTAGGGGCTCGTATGGAAAAGTAGTTGTCCGCCACCATATCACCGGATTTCGATAATGAGAATATTTGGAAGGATGTGATATCGGAAGAATTCGATGCTTCGGATTTGGACAAATGTGAAGCTGTCAATGGTGAGTGGTGTGAATGGGCTTGAGGAGCCAAAGCAATGAGTCGAAGGCATGGTATAGAAGACGAATCGACAAGCTTGATCGCTTCAGTCAGCACTCACTCAGCACAGAAGCGGTCTTTGCAAAGTCCGACAAACTGACGTCCACTCTGACGATTTTCATGTGATAATAACATTTCCTTGCACCTTCCGTGACATACCTATGACGCGTGACGTGGGGCACTCTCTCTCGCTCGCGTGCTCAACTTCATCAAACCCCTCGATTGTAACGAGACTTTTCACATTCGAACACAACACAATACAACACAACAAGAACCAAGAATCCAAAAACTTGTCATCCTCAGATTCAATCAGCCAATCAAAGCAGTAAGTCTCATCACTTCCATCTCCTAACCTCAAAACCATAGCTAATATATGCACTCTAGGCTCAGCCACAAGCTCACGTACGCCTACTATCTACCATTCTTCCTCCCTACCTATCCCTCATTTCTGACCATACTCGTAGACAATGTCTGCACCAAACCAAGGCCGTCAATCCCCCGACCCAGAGCGTCAAACCGGAGCTCAACAACAATCTCCACCAGCCGAGAAGCCAAACCAGGCACCTGGCCACAAGGAGGCTAAGGACTCCAAGGCACAACTCGAGGGCTTGAGCTCTAACCCCAAGGGTCCGTTGGATGATGAGGCGAAGGCTAAGCTTAGCAAGTAAGGAGGAAAGAAAAAAGAAACTAGTGGAAGGAAGGAAGGAAATGGTGGCATGAAATAACATCATATGCGTTCGTCCGTACGGCATAGAGTAGGACGTTAAAGACGATAGGTTTCTGCATTGCGGAATTCAAAGACTTCTCCCGAACATGAGTTGATTCGTACTGTGATATCTTTGTTCTTGTTCGATGATCTCTGGCTCTGGTGGAGTATGGGACTGTTCGTTCTGCACACAGGTTGATCGTTCAATGCTGCAATCGTGTTAGTCCTGGCTTCGATGGACTGAGATTGGCTGTTTTGAAAAGAGGCAGGTGTTAACAATCAGGCAGAAAATTACGTGTTCGCAGCATTTGCCGTAGCATATGAGTGAGCTGGGTAAACGAATGGTTCTCATCACGAAGATTCGCAAGGTCATTAGCAGAGAGGAAATAGAATGCGTACCATACAGTCGAGCCCTTAGTCTTGAGCTTGAAATTCGTTGATGGGATGCTGACATGCAGATTATGATGAGCATTGGTGCGGAATGGACGGGTGGTGCTACGTGGGTTGCTGAACCTATGCATTGGTCAGGAATGTTCAAGCAGCTTGTGTGTCGCGAGGGTGGCTCAAAAGAAGGGCGAAAGCATGTCAGGTAGAAAATTACGTGTTCGCAGCACTTGCCGTAGCATATGAGTGAGCTGGGTAAACGAATGGTTCTCATCATACGAGGATTGGGGAAGGGAAAGGATAGGATAGGATACACTTACTGACAGTCGTGGCTCTGTGCACGCGTGTTGCTAGTGCACCGCGAATCCGGGTAATGAGTGTGTTCGACATGATTCCATGATCCAGATCAGCAAGCGAAAATCGTGATGAAGCTTTCCGGACGCAGGTTCATTTCATCCCAATCCTCGCCCTCTCCCTCTTGCTGCACTTGACGCTCGGCTAGCAGCTGTGCCTCGCGTGTCACCAGTGCCTCTCCCTCGTCCCGTTTGGCTGTCAACCCGGCCATAGCCGCGAGTGGAGCTAGATGTGCCTCTGACACTCCTCGTCCGGCGCACGCCACGAGTGCCGGTCGCAACAGCAGCAGCTTTTCTTCTCTCCTCCTCCTCGGCCTTTCTTTGCGCCTCCTCTCGTCTCCGCTGTTCCTCGAGGGCTTTCCTCTCAGACTCATGTTGTCGTCTCATCTCATCGTTCTCGATATCTTCGAGGTCCTGCGATGCACCCTGAAAGTTCGGGTTGAGTATCACCCTCTGGTTGTGCTCGGTCTGGCCAAGGATGCGAGTCCAAGTAGCAAGCAAGGTCGAAGCATTGTTGACAGTCTTGTGCACCGTCTCCATATGTGCCTTTGCCTTGGTCAAGCTCGCGGTGACTCCTTCTATCACCCTGTTTACCTCGCGCACTTTCTCCAACTCCGCCCGCAGCTGCGCATTTCGTGCTTCTTCGACATCTTGCTTAGACAGCGGTCGTACCTGCTGCTTAGCTGAAGCAGAGACATTGCTGGTCGAGATGGGAGTGTGCTTTTGTGTGGTCGCGCCGCTCTCTGGGCTTGCGAACAGATCTTCGTCGGTGTCCTCCAGGCTCAATTTCGCAATGTTTGGTGCGCCGGACCCGCCCAGATCTTTCGACATGTTGCACAGCGATTGGCGGGTTGGGCAGATGGCTATTGTGTTGTCGACGTGTCTTTCAGTACTGACATCAGAATGCCGACCCTCAATAGCCAAACAGATCAGCTTTGATGTGGATATCGCGCGTGTGATGAAAGCCTTCGATCGGCATCTTGACGCGTGGTGCGGGAGCCGAATCTGCAGGGCGAGGCAGGGATGTCAGACGTCAATCCAGCCACGCCCATTTGCACACTTTACGCTTCACCTTCGCGATGCACACCTTCACCATCGACAACGACATACAACAACGAGCGCATACATTTTTGGTCGAGACCTAGAGATAGTAAATACAACAATACGGATCGCGGAGAAAGAGATATTGCTTGGGAGCTGCGCATTGAGCTACAGGGCGGGAGAAGCGCATTTGGTGGCTCAGGTCCAATTCTCTCAACGGTCTGCAAGAAGAGGAGGCAAGAGACGGGATCGGTGAAAAGTGTGCCAAGGCCGAATTCCGACTCACACTGAAGAAACGCTGGCTTTCACACCTGTACGTTCACACCACCCATACAGTAAAGCCACCGCCGAAGCCATCAACTCGTACGCCTGCCAAGCCACTCACGCCTGCTGGATCTGCCTCCAGCAGCATTGTCGCAGGAAGATATTGCAGAGAGACACTTGCTAACCAGGTGAACTTGCAGGCCCTCAACTCGCATACACCCACCAAATCTCCCCAGCAACAGGCGCACTGCGCCAGCGCGCTCACATCAGGCCCGCGTGAAAAGCATGGCCGTTGAGATGGACACCCCGTCCACTCCACCGCGCCGCACGCGCGCTCACCTCCACGTCCCGCCAACGCCGCTGCATGGCAGCTTCCTTGACAGCCCGCCGCGCCGAAGCACTCGCAGCACCCTCAACACCAACCCGTACAGCAGCGCAAACGTGAGCGCTTCGAGCAGCTTCAAGTCCTCTGCAAATTCCTCCCTTCCGCCTGTCACACCAAACATAGCGGGCCGCAAGCTTAGCTTTGCTGTTTCGGATGCCCTGTCCACCCCACCTGCATCACCTATGCAACCACGGCTCGGCGCGATTTCCGCTCACGCAGACAATGGCCTAGACGACGACAATAGGAATGCTCAAGGCGACCATAAGACACTCGCCGCGCCTTCAAGCAACAAGTCCGCCATGCTCCCAACTCCATCTAAGACGCCTTCCATGACACCAGCCCGGAAGCGCCAGCGTGCAGCCAGTCTCCAGGATACCGCTCGAGTGCTTCATTTCCAGCCGGAGAACCCGAACGACGCTATGCCGACTCCGCAGCAGAGCCGCAAGCACAAGGCTGCCCTAGCCAGCAAGACGGGTGCTTTCGATCTCGACGCCAACAAGCCAAAGCGCAAGGGCAACGACTTCACCATCTACACCGAGACTCAAGCTCGTGTTCCTGAGGTCGACAAGTCCAGCGGCAATGTATTTCGAGGTCGTGCTACCAGCTCTGCGCCACCAGCTCACGAACGCGCTCGTCAGTGGGATAGCTCTCCAAGCCCACCACCACGATCTCGTCGCAGCGCACAGGATCTGTACGACGAGCAGCGGATGGACTCTGCTGCCAAGCAGGAACAGGGCATCGTCTACACATTGTAAGTCACTATCAACTTTATGCACTTGCAAATCACTAATCATTTCTAGCCGCGGCCGCAAGGTGTACAAGAAATTTGAGGATGTTGACGGCCCTGACCTCGGAGAGAGCTCGCGGCAACGCGCTCTGAAGCGTGCTGCCGGCGACACACGCCCGATCACTCGCAGCAACATTACGCCACGCCTGCTGTGGGCTCGTCAGAACAACGATAGGGACATTGACGAGGGTGGATACATTCGACAGCATGACACTGCCGACGAGGAAGCTGAGACCGATATCGACATGTCGGATGCTCCTATCATCAACATTCAGGAAGTCGATCCATCCGTTCCAGCCCAGCACACGACTCCAGCCAAGACCAAGGCTCGCTCCAAGCCATTTATGAGTCCTCCTACCACTTCTCGCACTACTCGGACAAAGCAGCACGAAGACATTCCGAGCTTTGATGAAACTTTGGACGCCGATGATGAGGGTGCTGCTGCCGTTTTGCCGACTCCTCAGCGCAGTAGTCGCAAGAAGAAGGTTGCGATCAACGACATTCCAGTCTACCAAGAAGGCACTCCAGAGCCGATGTCAATGACGCCAGATGGCAAGGATGCGCCGCCGGCACCGACACCAGCTCGTGCTCGGACAAAGCGAGTTCAAACCCAGCTTACCCCAGTCATTGAGGACGAAGAGCCAGCCTCAGCAGAGTGCAGTCGCTCTCCTGCAGCTGGTCGGCGCAAGGCCTGCAGTCCTTTCGACAATTGGCCACGCACCAAGGCTGGTCGCAAGCGTGAAGCTGTCGAGGACGCCTCTTCCGCTGCTCCAAGCAAGCGCTCACGGAGTGGCACTCGCTCAGCTCGCGCCTAGGCACATCTCTCACACCGCAGGCGCGTCTCCAACGACGTTGCGACTGCTGCATGACATTAATACTAACAACATGAGCACTACGACATCACGACACTACGATCAGGGTGGCATAATTCATTACTGGCGCAAACACCAATTGGCGCGACATCGGTCGTGATCTTTCGCACCGCTTTACGTTCTGCTGTCTACCCTCTACTACACAGGATGGCGGCAGGACTGATCTCGGTGCTTTCCAGGCGTTTGGGAGATATACTGGCACTTCAGGCGCTTCTTGCGTCTGGCGGCTGGCGGCTCGAATGAGGCAAGCCTTTACTGGATGAGAAGTTGTCGCATGATATGGATGGGTAGCATTGATTTTGGCGCTAGGAAGTGCTAAGCTGAGATACCCATGACTGCTCCCATGAGCAGCGAACGCAAATGCATTATACCAAACTCCTCCTTCATCATCGTGCTACCTCTTGTGATCGCCTTGGGACATGGCTTCTTCGTATTCCACGTCCGTTCATGCAAGTTGCCCACCTCTACGCCGCTGCTGTGTAACCAGTCGAACAAACTTCTTGTCATTGCTTACCCTAAGCAGGAGCTCGCGTGCGCCGACGCTGCCCAGAGACCAAGAGATGTGTATCCTTGGCGCACGCTGCGTGTTGAAAGACGTCTCCACGAGGATGTCGAAAGGAAATATTCGCCACGCATCTTTTGCCTTGAAGCGGCTTCTTCTACAATTCGAACAAACCGCATAATCACTATACTGCTTCTTCGGCTGAGTCTAGGATTAACACATCTTCATGGATTTTGGCCTGGCTCCAGCTGCTGATAGTCTATCTTGGCATTCCGAGTCCCGCATTGCGCTCGACGCCATCGTAGTGGTTCGGATCCAGGCCCTGAAGTTCGACACGCCCGCCACAGCCATCAACTCTTGGAGAGTGCTAGCTTGTCTGCCCAAGATTTTGGAAGGACAACCGCCGTCTTATCAGCAGCGAGCACCCCGATCATGGCTTAGTTAAGTACGTGGCTAGTGCTCGACCTTGTCCATCGGTTCAGCACAGTTGCTGTCGAACTATCCAATCCTTTCTACCCTCTCACTATTCTCATGCTGCACTGATGCGGACAGAGCTCCCGACATTGCGGTCAACATGGACGCCTTCAAAGCCCGATCCCCCTTCAAGCGAACGCAGACTGGGGATGGGGCCAAGACCGAAACCAAGGATTATGGTGTCACTGGCGATACAACAGAGCTTCCAGCATACAACAACCAGGATGTCGAAAGACGGGCCTCAGTTGCTTCGTATAATGTCAGCGGCGTTCACGATGATACACACAGGAGATTGAAGCCGCGACACATTCAACTCATCGGCATTGGTGGGACTATTGGCACTGCGCTCTATGTGCAAATTGGCAGAGGCTTGCTCAATGGCGGTCCCGGTAGTTTATTCATTGCCTTCACCTTCTGGTAGATATCCACATATTGGTACTTGGCACAGGTACGGCACTGACAAGCTGCAGGTGTTCCGTGGTCCTGGCTGTGACGCTTTGTATGGCCGAAATGGTTACCTACTTGCCCATCTCGTCGCCTTTCATTCGTTTTGCTGGGCGATATGTTGATGAGTAAGTCATCGGCGAGCCGCCCCCGAATTGCTTCCACTGACAGCTCTTAGATCTTTCGGCTTTGCCGCCGGGTGGAACTTCTTCGTCTTTGAGGCAATTCTGGTCCCTTTCGAAATCACCGCTTGCGATGTCATTATTCGATTCTGGTCCGATGCATTACCCACCGGCGCCGTCATTGCCATTATCATTGTGCTATACGCTTGCATCAACCTCGTCAATGTAAAGTGGTACGGCGAGGTCGAGTTCTGGGCCGCCTTAGGCAAAGTGTTGCTCATCATCGGCCTCATCATCTTCACATTCATTGTGATGCTTGGTGGCAATCCCCTAGGAGACCGTTTTGGCTTCAGATACTGGAATAATCCAGGCGCATTCAAGCCTCTGTATTACGAAGGCAACCTAGGCTACTTCCTCGGATTCCTGCAATGCTTAATCCAGGCATCCTTCACCATCGCTGGCCCTGATTATGTCTCAATGGCAGCTGGTGAGGCGGAGAATCCACGAAAAGTCATGCCCAAGGCTTACAATGCTGTCTTCTACCGCTTGACTACCTTCTTCGTTCTGGGTGCCCTCTGCGTCGGTATTTTGGTGCCATACAACGATGCAGAACTGACAGCGGCTTTTGAGGATGGCCTTCCAGGTGCCGCAGCTTCGCCGTACGTCGTGGCCATGAATCGTCTCCGCATCGATGTCCTTCCACACATCGTGAATGCTCTGGTTTTGGCATCTGCGTTCTCTGCCGGAAACAGCTACATGTACTGCGCATCTCGCAGCCTCTTCGGCCTCGCACTCGAAGGCAAAGCACCGAAGCTCATGATCAAGACCAATAGGATTGGTGTTCCTTACAATACTGTGATCGCTATTCTTGCAATCTGCCTGCTGGCATTCCTCTCAGTCAGCTCTGGCTCTGCAAAGGTCCTTGGCTGGTTCGTCAATCTCATCACCGCCTCGCAACTGATCAACTTTGCCATCATGTGCTTCACCTTCCTAATGTGGATGCGGGCACTGAAGGCCCAGGGTATCAGTCGCGATTCGCTCCCGTACAAATCCATTGGCCAGCCGTACGTTGCAATCTACGGATTCTGCTGGACTGCGGTCATGGCCATTGTTGGTGGCTACACCGTGTTCCTTCCTGGATCCTGGGAAGCTTCCACGTTTGTCTTTAGCTACTTCATGGTCTTCCTCACGCCCGTTCTCTTTGTCGGATGGAAGCTCATTCATCGGACCAAGTGGTACAAGCCGGAGGAAGTTGACCTGCAGGGTGAGGTCAAGGAGATTGAAGAGGTGAGTCAAACGCCACAGAGAACAATTTGGCAGTTTGCTAACTTCTTCTAGTATCAACGGAACTTCGTTCAAGCACCTTACAGGAATGTGTTCGACAAGATCTTCAATAAGATGTTTGGCGGCTGAAAGAAGCGAGTTTAGAGCAGGAGAACAGTACATAGCTGAAGCATCTGTTTTAACATCACGACTGTATGAACACAGAAAGAAGTCATGATCGCCTAACCTCCACGCCCTCTATATGCCTCTCATCGTCCCGTGTGTCGACGCCGTGTTGAAACGTGCCCAGCAAATTGATTAATACTTCACTTGGCTGTCATCAATTCGCAATTTCTTCTACCTCGCCTCGCGATTTCCTTCGAAACCACACGGACATTCAGACGATGGCCACCTTGATGTCCTTAAGCCATCTCAGAATACCAGACCAACCAGACGACGAACTATACATAGATGGAAGACCCCTCGAGATCATCAAAGAAGACACGTTCACAAAAGGAACAGCCACCAGCAACCTCACCCCAGCCATCGGCCTCGCAACAGTCCTCTACAACTGGTGTCCCGACGCCCTACACGCCTTCCTAGACTTCAAAACCTGGCTGTCATTCACCTGGAACCTCAAAATCCAACACGGCGAACCCGACGAAACACAGCTCGAAATTTCCCGAATCCGGAATCAAATCGCATTCGGTCTGCTCGACAATCACGGCCATTACAAAATTCTCATCACATACCTCATCACTTCTCCCTCGGGAAAATGGATCCCTGACCCGCAAGAAACCATGCTAGGCGAAGAGATCGTGGAAGATGTGGAGAAGATTGAGAACATGGCTCGGTCTTTTGTCAGAGATTTGGTTTGGAAGAAACGGTGGCAAACGGGGAAGAAGATGAGACATGATTTTTTTGTGGAGTTTGAGGTTGGTGATGCTTTTGAGGATGGGATTGCGATTAGTCCGCACTGGTTGTATCGGGCGTTGGATCTGGGGCAGTGTACGAGTTGTGGGGATGGTGAGGAAGGGGAGTTGAAGAGGTGTGGGAGGTGTGGGACTGCTGCTTATTGTTCTGATGAGTGTCAGAGGAGGGATTGGGCGGTGCATAAGAGCGTTTGTGCGATGGATCTGGAGACCAGGGGAAAGGCGCTGCATTTGAGTAAGGATGGGGGACTTGCTAGGTTGGCGAAGTCGAGATTGATTGCGGAAGATGGGAGTGGAGCAGATGGTGAAGAAGTTCAAGACGAGTAAGAATTGGGGAATTGCGCTCGATTTTTGGTTGAACGTCCAGCTTCAATGTCAAATCGATTTCGCTGCAGAGCTGCTATGCCATCAATGAAGCAAGACGAATCACGGAGCACGCGACTCGATCTAAGATCTTCCCCAAGGCTATGGGAATTCAATGCAGAGATATGCGTGCCTGCCAGAACAAATAGACATTCTAGAATTAGACCATGTCTCGCTGCTGAGCTATGAGGAACTCGGAAATACCGAGACAAGTTCGATACCGCGGCTGTGGCGAGTGACGAGTGTACGGAGTGCCATACGCTGCTGCGGACATTGCCTGTAGTGGATCATAGGTTCAATGACCATCGTTCGGTGCCCGAAAACGCGTTTGCTGATCGCTATGGTCAATACATGATGCTCTATCGAGTGAAGAGCTGCGATCCAAGTAAGCTCGACCGGACCTGATCATTCGATCGTGGGAGATCATCAAACATTTCGGCACAGTGGGAGTACCAAAGCTGCAACTCATGTCAGCAAGTTCGAGCATCCAGGAAGGAAGCGAGAATGAGAATATGTGAGTGCCTGCTCTTCACGGCATCCAGGTGTTTTGACATTCCAGGTGCTCTCACATTGAAGGCCACGCACTGTCGGAAAGCTGTACCGCTGGTTGGGTCCAGTTCTAGCCTTCACATTTTATCAAGCTGCATCTATTCGCGCCACTGGGCGATGTCCTCATGCTGCCAGTACTCTCCTGTCTTGCCGCCGATATCGTGCAGTGCGAGCATGACAGGCGTCTTCGCGCCTTCATCAGCACTCTTTCTGCCTCCACCACGCGTCATGTCTGTCTTGACATATCCAGGACAACATGCGTTGATCAGGACGTTCTTGCTCCTCGCATGCTGATCCAATGCCAGTGACTTTGTGAAAGCCGTAACTCCAGTTTTACTCGTAGCGTATGCGGCCGACGGAAAGCCAGCCTCCTTCTCTTGCCCTGCATCGGCTGCTTTCTGGAACTTTTGCATCAAAGCTGTGACCTCAGGAATGCCCGTCTGCGGCTCTTTCTTGGATGCATCGAGGAACGCCTTCGTAATGTCATCAGAGTACTTGTTCAGCTTGCCAGCCATACTGGAGACGTTGACCAGTCTGCCGCCTTCCCTGATGAGAGGCAAGAGCGATTGGCAAGCTGAAATTGTGCCGTAGTAGTTTGTTTGCAGCGTCTCTTTTACAACCGTGGCGTCGAAGCCCTGTTGTGCGATGCCTGCATTGTTGATGACGATGTCTATACCGTCCGGGTGCTTTTCCTGGAGGAAGTCGCGGAAGTCGTGCACACTCTTTGCCTGGCTGATATCCAGCGCGTGATAGGTGATGGTCGTATCGCCGCCATCTTGGCTCAGCACTTTCGCGTTCTTCAGCTCGGGGTCGTTGTTCAATGTTTTCACTGCTTCAGCTCCACGCTCGGGCGATCTTGCGGTCAGATATATCAGAAATGGCCCCGACTTCAATGGAGACTGGGGATACTCGAGGGCGAGGTTGCGGACTGGGCATTGTCAGTGAAGGAGACTGCGTGAAAGCGTGCGCAGTGCAGACCAATGGCCACTCCGATGCCCTTGTTTGCGCCTGTCACGGCGGCCACTCTCGATTGAACGGCCATTGTAGTGATTGTGAGTATAACGACATCTTCCGCTTACAATCAATGCCGTCAATATTTGATTGGTGCGGCCGAAACCTAATCGCCAGCCCAGCCCAACCCAACGCGCCTCTCGCATGCGCAATGACGACTGCCACACGTTGCACACCAACACTTTCCTTGCTATTCACGTTCAGTTGGCTGGCCGAGCGGCAGCACGTTACGCATCCTACACGATTGACTCCGCCACCACCATTCCACCTCCTACGTGTTCTCCATCCATATTGCTCCTCCTTGAATGTCCGAAGACGAGTCCAGCTTTCCGCTGGAGGCCCCGAACAAACGTACTACTTTTCCCAGATCCATCAGCGAGCTGGTCACGAGTCAATTGGTACCAGGCACCATGGCCAAGAGTCAGGCGCTGCACACCAATATGGGCGTCGACTATATTGTAGTCTACAGATTTCCTCCTTCCGGTAACTACCCCATGTCATCATCTGGCATCCAACAGCTAACAATGCGTGATAGAAAAGGCCAAAGCTGCCGCGGGCTTCGAAAAGCTATGCCAGAAACTCTCCTCCGTTGGCTTGGCGACTGAAGTACGACATGGGGAGGGTAGCAGCATTCTCGTCTTCGTCAAGGTTGCCAGCGATGAGCACATGCTTGCCGAAGTCTATCGAAGTCGCGTGAAGGACTGGATCTACGGCGTCCGGGCAGGAGAGCCAGCTCAAGACGTTCGAGCATCTCTGGAGGAGGATCCATTCACCGATGCTGAGAGGCTTCGTATCATCTACCAGATGATCACCAACTACGAGGAAGAGGGCGGAGCTGGCATTAGACCCAAGTCTCCAGAGTGGGAATACGTCGAGAGCATTTTCTCGCTTCACGACCACACCTTCAACAAACACTGGATCAAGAAGTGGGCCACCGAGTACACTATCAAAACCGAAGACCTAGACGAGATCCGCGACAGATTTGGCGAGAAGGTTGCATTTTATTTTGCTTTCGAGCAGACATACTTCAACTTCCTGCTCTTTCCTACCGCCTTTGGACTTCTCGCATACCTGTTCCTAGGCTCCTTTAGTCCCATCTATGCTGCCGTTCTCTGCCTTTGGTCGACCATATTCGTGGAATGGTGGCGACACCAAGAGCGTGATCTCTCCATAAGATGGGGCGTACGTGGCGTCAGTAATATCGAAAGCAAGCGCCATGAATTTGTTGCAACGCAAGAAGTTGAGGACCCTGCTACTGGAGAGACGCAGAAGATCTTCCCATGGACCGAGCGATTGAAGCGCCAAGCGTTGCAGGTGCCGTTCGCCATTGCAGCAGTTCTGGTCCTTGGTAGTCTCATCGTCCTCTGCTTCGCCATCGAGATCTTCATCGGAGAGATCTATAATGGGCCTGGAAAATCTATCCTGACTTTCGCGCCAACGGTCATACTAACGACTTGCCTGCCGTTGCTCACGGGTGCGATGTCGGATCTAGCCAAGCGCCTTAACGACTACGAGAATTACGAGACTGATTCTCAATACACTCGATCGCACACCGGCAAGCTCTTTGTCCTAGACTTCATCACCTCATACATGGGCATCATATTGACAGCTTTTGTCTACGTTCCCTTTGGTGCCGTTCTCGTACCGTATCTCGATGTCTTCAGTCGCCTTTTCACAAAGGGCGAGGGTCACCTTGAGACTGCGAAGGCTGGAGATCATTACACCATCAACTCGGATCGGCTTCGCAAGCAGGTCATCTACTTCGCCGTGACAGCTTCCATCGTCAACTTTGCCATGGAAGTGGTCGTTCCCTATCTCAAGCGACAAGGCTTCCTCAAGTTCAAGGAAATGCGAGCCAGCAAGGCCGAACCATCTCCAGCTACGGATGACCCCGCCGAGGAGAAAGAATTCCTCGATCGCGTCCGCAGTGAAGCAGAACTTCCAACTTACGATGTTTACACCGACCTGCGAGAAATGATCATTCAATTCGGATATCTCAGCCTCTTCTCCGTGGTCTGGCCGCTTGTCCCGCTTAGTTACCTGGTCAATAATTGGTTCGAGCTCAGAGCAGATGCTATCAAGATCTGTGTTGAGATGCAACGTCCTACGCCGTGGAGAGAAGACACTATCGGTCCATGGCTCGATGCACTCAGCTTCCTCACTTGGCTGGGAAGCATCACTGCTGCGGCTTTGACGTACATGTTCTCAAATGAAGGTGTCGGACCAGATGGCAGGCCGCATGACATCAAAGCGTGGGGACTGTTGCTCTCAATATTTTTCAGCGAGCACTTGTACCTCATCGTACACGGTATCGTGAGAAGTGCCATTTCGAAGATCGATTCGCCAGGCCGACAGAAAGAGCGTCGCGACAGATTCCTGACCAGGCAGAAATTGGTGAAGGACAGCCTCGAGAAGCTACCGCCCGTTCCCCAGATTGGCGAAGACGACACGCCGGTGACCAGGGAGACTCTCGAAGAAGATGCTCGACGTGCTAGTCTGACGAAGAGCACGCCGATCGAGCGCTTCTGGTCCAGGCAAAAGGGCTGGCGTGAGGCTGCTCAGATGGGCAAGATCTTCATTGAAAAGGCCGTTGATGAGAAGCAGGCAGGCAAGGAGAAGAAGGAGCTCTAGACTTCTGGCCATGAATTACGAGAACCTATGATTTGCGACGGAGGCTTGGACGGTACGTCTGGAAACAGTTGTTTAAAGAATATCAATAGCGAGGCGTCCAGGCTGCATGAATTGAGGAAATTAAAGTGGTTTTCAGTACTCGGAGTTCCGCACCTTGGCAGAGTTCTTCTTGTTTAGCTTGGCTACCGGATTCCCTAGGTTGCTACCACCATTGCCTCGACATTGCCTGTCCACATTGGGCTGGAGTCTCACAGTCATCCCTGTCGCCATCGCTCCCTTTCAACGGCTCTTAATGATTTTTTTTAGCAAAACATCAGACTGCTTGCTTTCAACACTTCGTGGAAGAACGCCTACTTGTCGAACTCCCAGCGCCGCCGCCATGCAGTTCAACTCGACTCTCTTAGCCGCGGCATTAGCCTTTCTTGCCTGTGCCCAAGCCGAGAATCCGGCAACAATAAGTTGGGCCATCAAAGACCTATCCTTCGCTTGCGATGCAGTGAAGCGCGTGTGCAACTATAATTTCATCTCGATGCTCCTCCGGGCACTTCCTCCACCCCGATGCTACGACATGCTCAACTGTAGTGGCGCTCGAACGTAATCCAACGGACTCAATACCAGAAGCAAGAGCGGGCGACCACGTGCTGATCGTCTGATTGACGATACGCAAACAAGACATCACACATTAAAGCCCACGAATTCTGTTGTATGCACAAATATGTATTTGACTACCAAAAGCGTGGAATTGAGTGCCACATTACTGGGACCACTGCAGAGCTCTTTCAGCTCTACGCTGTGCACCACTTGGCATGGCCTCTCATTCGCGACCGTTCGCCATTCACTTTACATATCTTGGCATTTTCGGACCCCACTTTCTTTTCATCGAAAAGATTGACACTCTGCGTTGCTTCTTGCTCGTGTGAGTGCACCCATCTCGATTGTGAAACGCTGACATGGGGTATATAGGTAGAAAGATACCGGGAATTTGGAACACGTCTGGACGCATTGCTTTCAGTTAAAGGATAGAGCGCGACTGCAATAATGCTGGTGCATTTGGCTTTGGGCGCCAACTTCTTGGTGACATGCCTGACCTTCTCGGTACACAGGCCCGAAATTCCTGACGGCTTCCAATCAAACACTTCATGCTGTGCTATCCTCTCCAAATCTCTTGGCTCAAAGACCTCTTACCCAACAGATCTGACTTACAATGACTCGCTCACCAGCTACTGGTCTGACCGAGCGACCGATGTCAAGCCAAACTGCATATTCCGGCCTACAATCGACCAAGAGGTCGCTCAAGCTGTCAAAATTCTTGCCTCCAACACGCACTGCAAATTCGCCATCAGAGGCGGCGGACACTTTGGCTGGCCTAAAGCAGCAAATATTGAAGACGGCATAACGCTCGACCTCTCATCGTTGGACAGCATCTCCGTCTCGGAAGGCAAGACCGTCACCACCGTCGGCGGTGGAGCTTACTGGAACCAAGTCTATTCTTACCTTGACGCCATGAATCTAAACTGTGCCGGCGGCCGCTACGCCACGGTCGGAGTCGGAGGCCTCACCCTAGGAGGCGGAATCAGTTTCTTCTCCCCACGCCTGGGCTGGGTAGCAGACACCGTAAAATCCTTCGACATCGTCCTCGCATCTGGACAGCTCGAAACCGGAATCTCCTCCACAAAGAACCCCGATCTTTTCCGAGCATTGAAAGGCGGAAGCAATAATTTCGGAATCGTCACATCTCTCCGTCTCAAAACTTTCCCTGGAGGACCATTCTTCATGGGTACGGTTGAGTATGATATGTCCTCCACCCCGGAATTATCACAAGCTTTCTTAAAGGCCGTTGCCGCAAAGAAAGAAGCTTGGGATCCCTATGCCGCGTTCTTACAGCAATATCATTTCATCAAAGATCCTACGACCAACGGAACGACATCAATATCCATGAACAACATCCTAGCCTACACCCAACCCTTCCCCAAGGACAACTCCACACCGGCATTTCTCAAACCTCTCCAAGACGCTGCACCTTCGACGGGAAACGACCTCGGAGTTCAATATCTTTCAGAATTCCTGGAGAGATTCGAAGACGACGATGCGACGAGACCGAGACAAGTGCTTTCCAATCTATCGTTTCGACACGATATGAGTGATTTCATGCAGCAACTAATTCAAATCTTCGAATCCACAACCCGACCCCTTTTCCAGCGCATGGAACACATGTCTCTCGCCCTCATCTTCCAACCGATTCATCCAGTCTTTACCTCGAAAGGGGACAACGTCCTCGGCTTTGGACGGCACGGGAAGGAAACCCCGCTGGTAAATTTATGTATTCAGACAGGTTGGGCTGGGGCGGAATTTGATGAGTTGGTGGTGGGAACGATTCGGGAAGCTATTGAGAAGGGCAATGCTTTGGCGAAGGAGTATGGTGTGGATTCTGAGTGGCTTTATTTGAATTATTCGGAAGAGTGGCAGGATCCTATTTCGGGTTATGGAGAGGAGGAGGTGAGGTTTTTGAGGAAGGTGAGTAGGGAATATGATCCTGAGGGGGTTTTTCAGAGGCAGGTTCCTGGGGGTTTTAAGCTTTGGTGAATGAGCTGGTGGGATTGAGAATTTAGTGGGATGGGATGTGAGATGTGGTGAGTGTTGAATGGATTGACTGTGAGACTCAGTTCTGTGTTAAGCACCTTTGAATCTTAGCCAGCTGGAGTTGCACCACCTTGTTCACTGTCAGCTGTACTCACGAGAGCGTCATTCATCAGGTCACTTACCAAGATCTTGAACATTTGGCCCGGAGTATCCACAGGCTGCAGACGCTGCGGACGCTGTTCCGGCTGAATTGCCATTTGCTGTGGCAGCGCTAGCTGCACAGAGACCACCGCTGGGGAAGTTGATAGCTGCCGTAACGCCGGGACCCTATCTACAGTCAGCCAAAGCAATCCCACGAGTGTATGCTCCACATTGACTTACACATCGACCATTCCCGATGTAGTTATAGTACGAGGTACCTCTGGGAGCAGAGCCATTAAACGCGGCAGCCTCGATAATGCTCGAGTACTTGGAATAGCTGCAGTAGTTCGTCCTAACAACAATACACTTCTGGACGAATTGGGAAGGATTGCTAGTGAAGAAGAAGAACGCCGAGTCTTGGAGGTTCTGGGCTTGGACGCAGCAGTCGTAGGCAGAGGCGGCGTCAGAACCCTTCATGTATCCGTGAGTCAGTTGTCCTTCCATCGTTTGTAAGTGTGCTCTCACCTGTTCCGTGAAGATTGCTCCTTGAGATCCACAATTTGCGTCGCCAGTGCCATCGAGGGCGCAGGAACTCGCACCACCGACCGATGCCGTGACGGCACCGCTTCCAACTGCGCCTCCAGAGTAGAGATATCCGTTGATCGGAAAGTTCTTGTATTTGCTGGCCATGTTCAATTTACTGCATGCTGCGTAGAGGTTACCAGAGCTTGCGCGCTTCTCTAGCGCAGCTGTGGATTCAGCGGCCTTGATCGGGGTTAGAGTGTTGAAGAAGGTGAGCGGTTGAATACGTCTCCCTTACATCAGATAGGTCTCTACGACGGAACGTGGAGCCGGGAAGGGTGAAGCTGATCGGCTTCCAGCTAGATAATGGATACTCATTGATGTTAGCGACACGCTCCATACGAGCTCAGTGGGACTTACAATCCACCCGGCGGACACGAAGGGTGCTATGGTCGCCAAAGCCAAGGCAAAGGTTGAAGCAGTCTTCATGCTGGGCGAGAGATCTGAGAGAGACGATGTGATACCACGCATTCCGGCCTCCCTCCTCTGCTCTTATATTCGATTCGATCTGTGAAGAAGGGGTGGTCACATTATTCATTACTCGACCCATGAGCCGAGTCAAGTTACTTCACTCGCTGTTGTGATTCGCCTTCGAGCGAGCCTGGAGCTCAATAACGGTGGCGGGGCCGTGAGCATGAATTGTTCATCGCAATCTGATCAATGTTCGTCGGACGTGAAGAAGCACCAAGGAGCAGGCAGGGCTTCAAGCTTCCTGAAGGAACTGGTGCGAAAGCATTTGTTGCCGGATGGCTGAGACATGAAGAACTTTCCATCGAGTCCGACAAGGCAACCCGTGATGCGTAAATCCTGGTGGCAAAGACTTGAAGGTCAAAGTGCAGAGCAGCAGAGAGCAGAAATTCAGCGATATGGCTGTAGTCTTCGTTTTCCGATGTCTCCATCCAGACCGTTCGCATGACTTCAATCAAGCCGTTCGGAAGACTCCAGAAGCCGGGGCGTCATATACGCAGGATCGTTTCATGTCTCGTCAACGCGCAGACTGCAGTCGCCAGTCGATGGTAAGATCCATGCATCTGCTACCTCGAGGACCTTTCCTTGACTTTGGCCCGTTTAGCACTCATAGAACTAGTGGACGACCCCACAATTACTTCCCTCACGCCTGAATCTCGGAGAAACTTCAGGTGGAGCGCAGCGCCGGTCTGACTACCAAAATCGCCGAGTTGACTACCGCGGTAGTCAGGAACTCTAAAATGACAGGGGGTTAGCCGAGGTTAAGCTGAAAGGTATAATATACCAATATACGGGGAAAGGTATACCTTTCCCTATTGCTTTCCTATACTATTTACTATAAATACAAATACGAATAAGAAAACTACGGAATAGTAAAGATATTAAATATTCTACCGACCTATACTAAGAACTAGATACTAACGCCTCTATCCTCGGAGAACCTACCGCGGGAAAGGCCTATTCTATTAGAAATCGTATATTATTCTAATACTATTCCGATCTTATTCCGATTATATCTATTTTAGATACTAAAAGCAATTTAAGGTCGATCTTACCGAAGGGGATAGCCCCCCTACGACTGCTTAGCTCGGATTTAACGACGATAATACCTACGAGAAGGACTACTAAGGGCTAGAATTTAAGGAGTACGACGAGGAGTACTATAAAAGCCGATTAGTAGTACTATATATCGACGAGGACGTTAAGGACGTTATAAGATATATAAGGGCATTCCTATTACAATATTAAACGAATAAGAACTTATTTGCAATAGGATAGGATTGTTATTACCTCGAACCGCGACGCTATTAGGGCTCGTTTTGTCGAATACGTAACTATAATACCGTAATATCCGAAGACCTACGAAGATAGATACGTATACGTAATCGACTACTCTACGACTAGTACTAAGCCGGAGCTAGATATAAGTAGATTCTTAACCCGATATTATTCCGATCTTATCGCTTTAAGAAACGATTAATAAACGATTAGTAAGGATAGCTAATAGAGAGGTAGATATAATATAGCGTTCCCTTAGTAGGAACGAAGGGGGCTATTCTAATAGTATCTAGTTGCTTAGGCAATATACCGTATACTAAGACGTCGTACGACTGCTTAGGTATTAAGCAGTGCTAGTAGTTATACGAGAACCTAGTATCTATAGATTACTACGAGGTCCCGGAAGAATAGTAGAAGATAAGAAAGAGATTGAATCTTAAAAGGTTTAACGAAGATAATCCTAATCTAGCGAGAAAGAACGCGTCGAGGTACGTAATTCTAATATTAATAGTTTTATAGGCGAATAATAGCGATAAGCTCTACTAGTCGCTCCGAAAAGAGTTTAAAAATAGGATATTCTATAAGGCCTTTAGGTACGACTCTTATAAGATAAAGTTTAGATTCTTTAATCTACGGATAAGTAATAAATCCTAAACTAATATTAATCTAATACTATACCGATGTAAATAGATTCCGATTTATTTCGTATACTAATACTAAACGAAATAGCTTAAAAGGATAATACTAGGCGAAGGATTTATCTACTATACGAACTACGACTCTTCTAGCCTAAACAAATACGATTATCGCTTCCGCGCGATTAAGCTAGCGGAGAATGTCGATTATAAATAGATATAGAGCCTAGTTATAGAGGTAAACAATTAGTCTAGGATTCCAATTATAAAGCGATAGTATATAGAGATCTTATAAGGGACGAGCCTACGGAGGATATACCGTAAGTGTAAATAGATTCTTATTGTATTACAAATAGATTAATATCGCAATTAGGTTACAATTACCTCCCCTCTAGACTAGGTTTCTTTAAGAAGATTAGTTATCTAGTTAAAATAAGGAAGATCGTTCCTATTAACTTTGCGGTATATCCTTACGTTATCTTCGTATCCTTCTTTTAGCATTATTATCTACCGCCGCCGCCTATACGACCGCTTTAATCCTATAAGGATAAAATCTTAAGACTTATTACTCAAACGCTATTAGTAACGATAATACTATATATATTAAGCAAATAAGAATCGTATATTAAACGGTTTAGAAACTAATTAGAACGGGATAAGCTGTCTTCCTTTAGACCCTCGCCCTATAGTAGTACCTCCGAGATAAAGAGGTTTACGCCCTTAGCGAAATTTATCTTAGTCTAGAGAATACTAATAATATTAGACGGGAAATCCGACGACAAAAGCTTATTTATTACCTAGACGGAACTACGATAAATAGAGTCTAATTTAAGTATAATATCGAGTAGAAGAACCCCGAAACGGTAAGAAAGTCGATTCCTATTCGATTTACATTCCTTTCGCAATATATTATTAATCTACTAACATTCTATTTAGCAATATATCTAGGGTATATAGTAGATAGAACAAGAGTGTATAACTATTACATTCTTCGTATAGTAGGCGTCTCTATTCCTTTCCTTCGATACCTACGAGGTCGATATATCGTTCTAACGTATTAAGGAAAAGAATATAAACGAAGTAATTCTCGGACGATAGGATAAAGAGCGAACTATTCGTAAGTAATTCGCATTCCGATATTATACTAATATTATTCTATTCTAAATCCATTCTTAGTCCTAGTCTTCGCCCGAGCCTACGTCCGTAGAGAATCCGAGTCTATATACTAGAACTTCTTTACGCGAGTCTTCGGAAGGATACGTAAGGTTACTAGAACAGTAGTAACCTTTTACTATATCTACGGTAAAGGAATTCGAGCGGTCGTAACCGACCTAAACTTAAAGCAGGCTAAAGGTATAAGAAAGCATTCTTATTTTAATATTATTGCGATAATAAACGCTTCTCCTAGGCTTAGGACTTTATCTTTAAGAAATTAACTATTAAAACCGCGATTAGAGGGTGTAACTCAAATATGTTATCCTCTATTATGTAATCTATTAGTAGAGGAACATTAATAAGGCTATTTAGAACAAGAGCCTATACGATCGATCGATCCTTTTCGCTCGGATAGATAGTATCCGTAGATTGAAATCAAAAGAGGCTTATATAAAGGAAGTTAAAGCTTTAGTAGGTAAGTAAGAAAGCTTTTAGATTAGAATCTTAAATAAATCTTATTACTAGGTTATTTAAACGAGAAAGTAGCAAGGTAGGCTAGATATAAGCTCTATCGCTATATCCGCTATAGTCTAGTACCCGCCTTCTCGAATATTCCTAAGGCAACTTAGCGGACAATTAGATACTATACTAATACAATCGAGTTAGCCGGGAAACAGGGGTACTATACTAGAAAGCATCGGGAAATTCTACCTACGATTAATGCGTATATTAAAGCTTTCTAAAGGCTTTCCGATTAGTTTCGCAAAGCAATAATATTAAAATAGCGCTACTATCTTAAATCGAAAAACTCTAACGTCTATAAAAAACATTAAGTCCTATAGCGTTCGTTTAATATAGCGGGCTTACTCCGTATACTCGCTAGCAACGAAGAGTAAACAGCGATATAGTATAAGTAATCCTTATTAGAATAGAATCGGAATAATATTAACTTCCGTATCTAGAGAGCCGCCGTCGTAAACGGGATACGATAGAAAAGAGAACGGAACGAGAATTTAATAAAGATATAATCGTCGCCGAAGAACTAGGTAGTACTTAGATACTAAGGCGGCGTCGTTCGGCGCTATCGTTACGAGCGAAGGAAAGTCTAGCCTTACGTAAAGTAACTAGTACGCCGTTACTACTAAGTATACCGGTAACTAGCGACGATATACCGCCGATCGACGTAGAGCTTCTAGAACGGTAGAATAAGGCGAAACGAGAGATACTTAATCTCCTTCGCGAGGAAATAGTATTAAAGGAATAGATAAGGGAGAAAGGTTTATAATTAGTATATTAAAGGATTTAGATTAGTATAGCAAAGGATTCAGACTATAATGCAAAAATAATTATAACTACCTCTATACTAGTATAGCAAGTTCTTAACCCGCCTAGGAAATCTATATTCTTATTCTATTCTTATCCTATTCTTATCCTATTCCTATCCTATTATTATTCCTTCGTTACCGCTCTAAGAGCTCTTAAGCTCTCGTCCGCGAGATCTTAGAATAATACTCGGTATTTATAGCTACGGAAGAGGTCTTAGGTCTATCCGTTTCGTAAATAGGTCGGATAACGATCGAGCTATCCTTACTAACGTAGAAGACCGATAGCGCTCCTAAAATTGATCTAAATAGAATAAGAATAGACTAGCAATCGTTTAAGATCTAAATAAGAGTAGACTTACCGCGTTTCCTCGCTTATATCTAGGCACTCGAATAGAACTATAAGCGAGAGGCTATAGATCGGGAAAACCTATCGAGGATATAAGGGCTACTAAGCTAGTACTAGCTTAGTTAGAGGGGCTAGCTAGACTAGTAGCGTAGGCGTAATAGGCGGATTAATCGAAGGCTCGGGTATAGGCGTTTTCGAGGGCTAAGCCGGGAGGGGTTCGGTACTAGGCTCTCGCTTAATATTAGAATCCGAAACGGATGTTATTAGTTTCGGATTGCGAGAGGGCGCCGACGGGGCATTTATAGCATTCTATTTAGAACCGGATACCGCGAGCTTTTCGAGGTCCTCGAGGGGATTTTCTTCCTCTAGGTTATAGACCGAGCCCTCCGACTTACCCGAAGAAATTACTATTAGCGCTGATTTATACGATTTAGAAATACTAGAAATATTAGTACGAAGTCGACGATAGATAGGATAAAACGAAGATTATAACTTACCGCTATTACGACTCTTTAGTTTTATACTTATCGTCCGAAGCAATCCTATAAGTAAGGTTAATTTTTTTTAGGTATATTTCTACCGTCGTAGGTTAAATAGATTCGTATTCTAATTACAAACCTTTTTATCGAACTCGATTTCCGGACAGCGATAGGACTCTTAGGCCGTACCGCTATAGGACTTAGTCCTTACTATTCCGTTTCGTCGTTATCCTCGTTAGCGTCGCTATCGTTAGTACTTATCGATAGAGTTCTTTCTCGAGGTATCAGATTTTTCGAAGATATAGCCGTTTTATCTCGATTAGACTTATAATTTATTAGTACTAAATTAAGTATAGAAACAGAGGCATTTAAAGACTTAGTATTGTAACCTATTGCTTTTACCGACTAAGATCCTTTAGCCTTACTGCCCCTAAGAAAAGTTAGTAAAAAATTATTTAAATCTGAAATTATTAAGAAAGCCCGAGAACTATTATTAGATTCTTATTAGTTTAAGAATAGTTTGATAGTACTTATTGCTTTCTTATTAGTATTAGAAGGGTATCTCCTAACCCTAACGCTACGCTAACTATACTAAAAAAACCCTACTTATAAGGTCTCCTTGCCCGAAATAATATCGTCGAGGTTAGCCGCGAACTTAGCCTTAGCCTTACTCTTCTTAGACGAGCGTAAGCTACGTAGGGTAGTAGGCTTTTCTAAAACGAATAAGAAACTATTAGTACTTTTTCTTAAACTATTCTAAAACTAATAATATACCGATTCTATCTGCCTTCTTTAGAGTAGTATTAGTAGCTTTCTTTAGCGTCTTCGGCTTTAGCGCACTTGCCGCCTTCTTAGTGTTGTTAATATAGGCGTTGTTAGCAGCGACAGCTACCTTACGATACTATTCTAAATAGAATTAGCCTATATTTAAACGTTTCCGAAACTATTCTAATTAGTATTATATACCCTTAGCCTATTTCTTCGCCTTCTATCTACCTTAATCTTTTCTCTTCTTAAATATAAGACTATGTCTACCTTTGTCGGTATTTATATATATATAGGCGAGAAGGGCGGAGGAGTCTTAGAATAGCTTATACTAAAACTAATTAGATACTATTGCTAATATATTTAGATTAGAAAAAACTTACTAACTATATATCGTTATCCTTACTAGTAGTAACGCGACAGATTACCTCGCCTAGTACTAGAATTTAGTCGTCGTCTAAGAAGGTGTTTTCGTTTACGACTAACTTAAATACCTCGAAGCCCTAAAAGCAATTAGAAATAAATAGTAATAGAATAATAAAAGGACTTACTAATAGTTTTATATTCTTGCCCGCCGCCTCGATATATGCGAGGTAGTCCTTATTATTAATAAGCTTCTAAGATAGGGCTATAGTAGAATCGAGTTTAAATAGATTAGTAAATCGAGTTAGAATAGATTAAGATTAGATTCTAAATAGACTAACGCTAGTAGAAGCTGCTATAGTAGGGGAAAGGAATAAGGGTTACTTTCGGAAAGTCGAGCTTGTTTAAGTCGAGCGCGCGCACTAACCTGCGTACGGACCAACACGGCTTCCTCCGATTAGTCAATTCGGTGGTCAGCTCGGCGATTTTGGTGGTCAGGATTTCTGAGTGCCCCTTCAGGTGGGGCCTTTCGATTGGAAATCAAAGCCGCGGCACGACATCACCTCTCACTCTTCCAGGTCCCATGCACGAAACAACCATCAAGGTCACCAACCACGAAGCTGTTCCATAGAAGAAAGCCCATACCATGACTGCCTCAACCTCCAACATCCCCCCCTTCGAAACAACCTTCGCCGTCCCACTCTCCTGCGAATCCTGTATTAAAGACGTCTCAACCTCCCTCTACAAACTCCCGGGAATCCACAACGTCTCCGCAGATCTCGCATCACAACTCATAAGTATCACGGGCAATGCAGCACCTTCGGCGATTGTGAAGGCGATCGAAGATACTGGACGAGATGCCATATTAAGAGGCAGTGGGAAGACAGGCGAGGAGGCTGCAGTTTGTATTCTGGAGACTCATGCTAGTCATGTGAGAGATGGGGTGAGGGGCTTGATTCGCATGGTGCAGGTTGGGGAGAATTTGACGATTGCCGATGTTACGGTGAAAGGTGTGAAGCCGGGCGAGTATAGGATCACGGTTCGGGAGGCCGGGGATATTAGTCGCGGCGCAGCGAGTACGGGTGGGATTTGGGATGCGGTCCAGGCGGAAAAGGAGGGTAGACAAGTGGTGAAGGGCGTCTTCGGGACCGTCACCGTCGGACCGAGTGGATTGGGATCTGTGTTTCTGGATCGACCGGTCAAGATTTGGGAGATGATTGGAAGGAGTTTTGTTGTGACGAGGCAAGAGGAGGGGAAGTTTGAGAAGGAGGACGAGGATACGCTTGTTGGTGTTATTGCGAGGAGTGCCGGTGTTTGGGATAATGATAAGACGGTCTGCAGTTGCAGTGGGAAGACGGTCTGGGAGGAGAGAAAGGAGCAGAGAGGGAAGGGAATGCTCTGAACTGGATGTGTTACAGCCCCTGCGACACAAGCTCAGCATACGGCCACTTGTCCTGCTTTGAGCTCAGAATTCCATCCTGTCACTCCAGCTTCGATGCACAGAGCCCTTCAAACCATCGCCCCGCCGACACACATCTTTGCATGCTCCGTCGCCCATTCGTCGTAGATCATGATCTAGAGTTCGTCCGTTCGCGTTCTATTGGCATCGACCAGTCAAGGCAGCGCCGCAGTCGCATTTGACCCTTCCTTCTGGATGTCCTGCAACATATCGAGGGGCAAGCCGGTGAAGCAGTCGTATCTGCGGCGGGCCCAGAATGAGCGGCGATGTTGTTTCCCAGTCGGAAGCAGCGACTCGAGGCGGCAGTGGGATGTTTCAGGCGCACCCGACCTTCGATAGTGTTCCATGAATGTGTTTGGCGCTATCTGAAGCGGCGGACGAACTGCAAGCTACCTACAATACGAGTGACTCGCTTTGATCTGAAGGAGAGCCGGTGCGAAGGTCTGCGATCCAGAAATGCCGCGTTCAGTAGCGCGAAAGGGAAGATGAGGGAAGGCATATGCAATTGACATGGAACAAAAGGAAGTGAATCTTCACATAAGCACACGAAAGTGGCTGCAAGAAAGTCCATCCATTCATCAGTTGGACTGTTTAGAAGCCACCTTCAGAGCGCATGCGCGTTCTAGTTACCCAAGTACTGCATGTCAGCGTCCTCTTGGCTGATCCACCCAGACCTCCGTCTCTCGTGGCCGTTCGTTGGAGCCGTGTTGCCTGCAGCCTTCGAGCTCCGTATCAACCGTGTCAAACCTTGTTACGCATCACGTACTCGCCGAAGTCCCAAGAGCCGTTCTTGAGTGCCACACCAAGCAGCTCCGCCAACTTTTCGAGCTCGCGACGGTGCATCCAGCCGTAGTAGTGCATCTTGTACATTACGCAAATTTCGCGGCAAGGACTGTCGAGCGGAGCACCATCCGGAAGGCAAACCTTCTCGAAGTGTTCATCGCGACGATGAAGTTTCATCTTGAACGACTTGACATTTCTCAAGTTGGCGGCAGCCTCGTCTAGAACAGACTTCGTTTTGGCAAAGTCCTAAGCTAAGTCGAGCTTCGGTGCTGCTGAGTTTGCGCGCTTTGCTACGATACTTCTCGAGCAGCGTCTTCTTCACCGCGACTTGATTCTCGTCCACGTCTCCGTCCTCTGAGCCTCCTTCGAGCTCACTATCTTCTCCTACGGTGTTGGCCTCCTCTTCATTCTCGTCGTCAGTCCATGGCCAACCGGATTCGCCCTTCTCAAGTGCTTGCGATATAAATATGGCCGTGTCGATATGCGGCCGGAAGAAGGGCGACCGAGCGATGAGCTTGAAGTTGCGCAGCGAAAGCTTTGTCGGAGTGACGAAGAGGGTCTTCAGGAATGGACGCAAATGCGGGAGAAGTTGACCTTCGTATTCGTCGAGGGTAGTGGATTTGCGAAGCCGACCTGATGTGATGGAAAAGGTCAAGCGACTTGAATTGTGGATCAAATATGTATCATTGGAGTAACACGCGAAGCTGAGGTCAACCTTGTGGGCATTCACATGCACAATACGGGGCAGTCACCCACTTGACAATACTGTAGCAGGAAAGCGCGATTGCCATCCCTGTGCATAACCTCACCTCACCTGCGTTACATCATTCATCATCGCCACCACATCTTACGTTCCGATCAACAAAAGACCTCAGAGGAAGTGTGCGCCAAATTGTCGACGTTTCTGCGTCGAGCAACGGCGCCTCAGATATGCGCTTAAAATTGCGCGGCGAGACCATGGTCGGAGAAACGTACAGTATGCTGAGAGTCGGGCGAATCGCTGGAACGATCCTTGTCTCATAGGAAAACGAGGTGAAGCAGAGTCGCAGCTTTAAATGATCGCTGAACTGGAGGTAGTCGATAACTTGGTCGAGGAGTTCTTACGGTAAGGCTTTGGTGTGGTAATCTTTCTGGCTCTGCTCAGTGCTGGTCGCCATGTTGCGTTTGTCCACGGATGTTCGTTGTCCAATTTTATGTAAGTCGAGCCTTGCGCTGTGAAGTCAACGCGTGCATAAGCTGCGCGGCATCACATCCTGAGAAATTTCCAGCATGGTCCAAGCTCGCGCAAACGACCGCACTTGCCTGGCCGCCTACCCTATTGTCGCCCGAGCAACAATCCGAAACCTCACAATAGTCAAGATCCCACCTATTGTTGCCTAGATCGAATTCTCAGGCTCACTCCAGCAGATCTACGACCTTCAAAAATGATCTTTCCGCTTCTCCAACTTCTTACACGAAGCCCTGACCGGCGGCGACCTGACTCCAGTCAAACAAAGACTGCCCAAGATGGCATTCGGGCACCTCTTCCTCGCTCTCCTGATCAGCACAATCAGTCTCATCGCGTCCATAATCTTCCTCACAACGACAACCAATGCCCACCTTCGCTACTTCTATGTCGCTTGGACGACGGTCTCCGCCGCGCTGGTCTGGATTCTGGTCTGCGTAAGCGCGTGCCTTTGGTCGAGGAGATGTGAAGGAGCCATGGAAGCAGAGCCACGGAAGCAGCGTAAGTACCAACCTCTTCGGACCCTCTAAGAATGAATGCTGAGTTTCTTCACCACAGGCATCGGCCGCACCATCTTCGAAGTCTGCTGGCCGAATGGAAGCCAGGGAAGCTTTCACTCATACCATCGCGATCGTCCGCAAACAAAAGTGTCTGGTACGCCGCGGATTCCTTCTCGTATATGCCATTTCAGCTGGATATCGTTCGCTGACATCTTCGCAGCGCCGGCAAAACGCACGCACACCGCATCGCCAGCGTCAACGCCATCCGCACTGGAATCCGGGAAGTCAAAGCACAATCGAACGTCCTCGCAAATCCCAATGCCGCCCACCATTTACTCGCAGTCTCGGCACACCCACACACCTTCCGACTCTATGTCTTCCGAGCGATCTTCCAACTCCAGAACCGCTCTCATCTATCCCGACTCAAATGGCTTCTTCCACGATCCAGGTCTGACGAAGCCGCGTGGGCCCGCACCTCCGATGAAGCAACCCTGGTGCGGTTGCGGACAGCCTTCCTCGTCACAGCTAAGCGTCCAGAAGAAGCCTTCGCTCATCTATCCCGATTCAAACGGCATCTACCACAATCCAAACCAAAGCCCAAATGTTTCGCCGCTGTCCCAGATCCCACTCAACCGGCATTCGGCAGTCTCGGCACTCTCTCTAGATACCGAAATTTCGCAAGCGAAGCTGGAGACAGCGAGCGTGATGCGCGCTACTCGACCGCAGACCATTAATATCACGCCGCCGAAATCGACTCAGGGCAGCAGCAGTGGTGGCGTGACTCGCGGTGGAGTTGTTGTGGACGAGAGCGGAAGCCCGAGGAAGGTGGTGTCGGATGGCTATCCAGTAGTGATTCATGATTGAGCTTTTCCAAGGCGCATAGTGATGGCGATAGAAGCGAGGCACTGGTTGCCAAGCTTAACAGATCGAGCGGCGGCGGAGACAGCTAGACTGAGCAGATCAGAAGAGTTCTTAGCACTCGAAACGTTGAAGATACCTGAGAACTTACCGGTACCGTACCAAGAAATCCAAGTTGTGAAGATTCCGCATCCCACGATGTTCCATCTCTGCGTACACACCATAGTGAGGCACGCAATGATGAAAAGACCCGCAAGCGGGTGATGCGCCCACACGCTCGACCGAAGTCGATTGCGCGAACAATGGCAGTAGAGCATAGCTCATGATGCCAAGAATGAAAGATCAATCAAGAAGATCGAAGAATCTGTGTTATGCCCTCAGGAAGCCCCTCAATGATGGCGCAAAGCACCGGTTTCTGTCCTGTCAGCGATGCGCGTGCTCAACCAGCGCCTTGAGTGAGACCTGCTTGTAAGTGCAATTTCATAGTGAGGAGAAAGCAAGCATACAAAGCATAGCCGTAGGCGCCACTACTAGTCCGGAGCAGATGCCCCGTCTAGCTGCGCTACAGGCCCAAGCCACCCATCTAGTAGTACAGGGTATCGTAGGCGTATCAGCCGTCGACGCAGATCCAGAATACGCCAGTCATTCATGCTTCGTCCCTCGTTTCGTCGTGTGGAAGTGCATCGCTACGTCCGCGTTCAGTCCTTCGATCCCTTCTTTGCCTTCTTCATTTTCTTCTGCTTTTTCTGTTTTCGTTTCTCGATCTTCGATGCTGACAAACCACCCCCAGCAACAGGCTCTGTCGATGCTGCGGCAGCAGAACTGGCAAACTCGATGAGCTGCGTCAACAACATCACTGGTTGAGAGCACTTACCTGCTCGCCACAGGCTGCTTGGCCTTTTTCTTGGCCTTCAACTTCTTGGGTTTCTTGGCTTTAGAAGGGGCTTGAGCTACCAGCGGTGTGGTCCTGGAGAAAAGTCAGCTCCTAGTCGCGTAGCCAAGAGATTATCGATGGATGCGATGCAGGACAGAGGGACGACGAGTATCACCTGCTGACCAATCTCCGCCCATCGTATAGCCGTAGGGGGCGCCATACCCGGTCGGCGGTGCCGGGCGGGTTGGCAACGCATGCCGCAACGGGTATCGTGGAGGCGGCTGGGCGTAGTCGTGGTAGAGCGGTGGGCGAGCTGCAGGCGGCGGAGGCGGAGCGTAGTTGTTATAGTACTGCGCCGGCGGAGGTGGCGGCGGTGCAGTCTGCTGATAGCCTCGGGAGCCCTAAGATACAATCATTAGCTATCTACATCTCAAAACGCTTCAATAACAGAACACGATGCGGCGAGCTCCAGAAACGATGGCGGCGGCTTGGCTGGCGACCTGCGACGGAGTTAGTAGTGGTGTGAGGTCGCACACCGAGCATCCGCCGCTCAGTCTTCCATCTGGTCTCCGGAGGCCGGAGGTGCGCTCATGGGAGCAGTGCTGCACAGTCCTCGCGTGAGGTCGCCACGCGGAATATTGACGGTGAGCTTCTTCTTGCTCACCGGTGGTGGCGGACCCTTCCGGAAATCGGCTGGCCTGTCGAAGAACGGGTCAAGACCAGGCGCCCTTGGCACAACCTCACGCTTTGGAGGCGGTACACCCTTCGCTGGAGGCGGAACAACAGGACGGGGTCTACTCACTTGCTTGTTGAGGTCGTGGAGGTTGTCGCGCAGATCTTCGAAAGAACTGTAGTTTCCACCCAAAATGCAGCCCAAAACGCTGCGAGTGCTGTTGCCGGACCCTTTCCGCAACTGATCCAACTCATGTTGAATCATCGAGAATGCGCCTTTGAAGCATTGCAGGACGAGGTCAATCTTGGCGGAGCCGCCTGAAATGTCGTGCTCCGGTTTGTCGGGATCCATGATGGTCAGTCGGTCCATGTTCATGTCGATGCCCATGTTCTGGGTCTTACTGAAGTAGCCTGGAGGTTTCATCCTGATGCCGGTGGTCCTAATGTCGAACTTGTTGCCGTAAAGGTCGAAGAAGTCTAGCATGAGCTCGCCATAGCTAGCTTGAGAACGGGCTTGAAGATCAGGCTTCAGCTGCAACATACTGACCACCAAGCAGATGATTGTGAACCCTCCTATACCACCGGTGTGGACTTCGTTGAGGCCGCGCATAGCAAGGAACTGCTTGATGATAGCCACCAAGACGGGCATTTCTGGAAATTGCTGCTTCCAAGCAAGCAAGGTTGGAATTGTGTTCAGGCCGGAGTCATTCTCGAAGGAGATGTCAACCTTGATGTTGGTCCTGCTGTCGACAAACTTAATAAGGGGAACCTTGGTTCTGGTAAGTGTGATGACATCGCGGTTCTTGGCCATTCCAGTCTTGCGGAGCTCATTGGAAAGCTTGTTCATTTGAGTCCTGGACTGACAGAAGACCTTGGTACCATTGCGCATGTACTGACTCGATGTGGCAACGAGGTCTATGTCAGCGTCGGTCAGGTAGAGACCAGAGGCATAGGAGCCGAAGGGTTGAACGCTGATCGAACGTCCGCGTCCGAATCCAGAGATGAAGTAGTCGACGCGCTTCACCAAGTCCTCACGACAATTCTTCTCATAATCTCTCGGCGAGACATAGTCGAAGAAATCGAGGATTTCCCGATGCAAGCTGCTTAGAATCTGTTAGTGGAAGACGTTACAGATGTGGACATCGTGACTTACTGTAAACCAACGTTTGCCGCGAAGTCGTAGCCGTTAGCTGGAGCCCAAGGAGTCGGGTCTGAGTCGCTTGTGAGCCAGTCGTCAACAATGTGACCAGCGGAGAAGCGCTGCTGCTGTTCGACACCACGCTTGCGCTTGTTCTTCCCTCCGACGTAGTTCGACATGAGCTCCTGATCAGTAGGCATGATCAAGTCATCCGGTGGTGGAGGTGGCGGAATATCATCAGGTGGAGGTGGCGGAATGTCATCAAGTGGAGCACCAACAAAGTCATCATCATTACCGTCAGAAGAGTCGTCCTCCTGGTCGTCATCCATGTCGAAAGAGATGAAATCTACATTCTCCTTGATAGCATTGGTGATTGAAGCCTTCTGGGCTGCCTCAACTTTGGCCTTGCGAATGCTCTGCACGATGTCCTTCTTGGGCTGCAATCCGAGGTCGGTTGGTGGTGCGACTGAGTAAGGATCCGGATTGGACCACTTCGGACGTGCTGGCTCAGATGTTTGCTCATCCGCCTTCGCGCGCTTGCGTGAAGGGCCTTGGTCACCTTCTGCTTCATTACTGGCGTCTCCAGAGTCTTCCTCGTCGCTAGAGATCACCTCGGCAAACTTCGGCTGATTGTCGTTCTTCATGCCAACGAGCTGCTCAGGTGTGGTTTCGCGATCGGTATATTGCAAGATGGCGCGCTCATGTGCAGGTCTCGGGACGAACTTGCGATATCCACCTCGGTTGTTCGAATTCTGAGCACGACCATTGCCGCCACGCTTGGGGCCCTTGGGTGGTGGACGTGAAGCTGGCGCGCGCGGTGGTGGCTGCGCATTGGGGAAGCTTGGAGCAGACGAGTCGCCGGGCGCACGGAAACTGAAGTCGGCGCGCTGTGGTGGGCGAGCATTGTCAGCAGCGCCACGGAAGCTGTAGCTAGACTCGGCGCGAGGGTAAGTGGTGTAATTGTCATTGTAGTTGCGCGCCGGGGTGTAGTCGCGTGTGTCGCGGGCGGGTGGTGGGAAACGGTCATCGCGGTCGTCGCGGTTGTCGCGAAAGTCGTCAGCGCCGCGACGACGCTTCGCATTGGGACGGTATGAGTCGCCCATGGCTGTGGCTTTCGAGTCCTCGACGTTGGCGCTGATGATGATATGTAGAAGTAGTACTGGTGGGGCGTATGGATGCTGCGCCGTAGCAGCCTGATGCAGCGCGACTCCGTGAACGCCGGAAAGAAACAGCAAAAGGCCACCCAAAGAGCGTGAGTGTGTGACGAAGTGAAGGTGTCGATGGTCGATGTGAGATTGTTGCGCTGTCGAAAAGTTGATGTTGCTGCAAGCGTCACTGGGAGATTAGCGCCGGCCCGTCCGGCCCGTTCCCGCGTCGTGCTCAGATATACGCACGGGCCATCAAAGCAGCCTTCATCGCGTGCCATGCCATGGCTTCTCATTCATTCACTCGCTACGAGCATAGCACAAGTCTACTCTCATCAACGCATCATCATCATGTCCTCGAGGAACCATGTCACGCCCTGTTGCTGTATGTGGCTCCCCGCTTCATAACGCGCCAAGGTAGGACCTGCACGCGCACGCGAATGCGCCTGCTTGCATAATTGTGTTACAGACTGCCTTCTGCTTTCCACTTCATCGGTATCCCAGTTCACACGCCTTCTGAATATCGACTATGGCCGATAACACACGGACGATCAAGGCACGCTGCCTTTGCCGTTCAAGTGCACACAGCATTACTCTTCCTCGAGATGCCTTCCCGTTGAAAGGTTACATGTGCCATTGCAGCTCATGTAGACATATGACTGGATCTCTGTGTGTCATGGCCACGTTTCTGCCTGCTTCTTACCGACCAGAGACATCTCTCGTCGAAAATCTCACAGCATATGTCTTCTCAAAAAGGATCACGCAGTAAGTTCATCACTAAAGCACACATTTGCACATCCTGTTCATTAGGTCCAGATACTTCTGTCCGACATGTGGCTGCCAAATGATGGCTCGCTGTCTCGCTGATGGTGACGACCCAAATTCTCAAGTTACATGGGACATAGCAACAGGCACCGTGGAAAAGCTCGACAATGTGGTTGAATGGCAAGGCCACGAGCATTTGCAAGACACTTTAGATGGAGGCTTCTCTGATATGCTTACCGAGGTCGACGGCAAAGTTCTACCAAGATGGCCAGCACACTTCGGCCAAGGTGAAGAACTACCTCTCCGCTGGCAATCGCCTTCGAGGCCGAAAATACAGAGCTCACCGAACGACAAGTTGCATGCCCACTGCAAATGTGGCGGCGTCGAGCTGTATATCTCACGTCCGTCTGCTCGATCAGCTGTGGCAAAGAAAGCGTGGCCAGAGCTTCCAATATCCGTAGACGTTAAGGGAGGAGACATACCTGCTGAGAGCGACACCCATTGGCTGCGAGACAAGCAGACCAAGTTCCTGGGTGGTCTTTGTGCCTGCAATTCATGCCGTCTAGCTACTGGAATGGAGTTCATACCTTGGGCTTTTGTACCCCTTGTCGACCTTTCGCTGGATGCTGCGGGCGAGATTCCATTTCCAAACGACTGTCAATTTGGCACGATCAAGTACTACAATTCTTCCGAGGGCTGTCATCGATTCTTCTGCAAGGTCTGCGGTGCAACTTGTTTCTGGGATGGCGATGATCGAAAGTATATCAAAGACATTGCCATTGGCCTGCTCGATGCGCCTGAAGGCACGCGAGCAGAGTCATGGCTCGGATGGAGAACCAACAATTACGGCTACCGTGACGACACCATCGGTCGAGCAGACAAGTTCACGTTAGCATGTGAACACGGACTGAAAGCTTGGGAGGCCTCGAGAGAGGGAGATGATCTGAGCGGACCGCTTCATACTCCAGGAGCCTATTGAGCGAACCGGATTCGACTTATAAAAAAATGTGTGCACGCTCGCTTGACTGTTATTAGCTTCTTCTTGTTCGAGCTTTGAATGGTTGTTTCAGCGGTGGGAGTTAGCTTCATCTTGTTTTGCCACATTGAATCCATAAATGTATGTGTTGTGGGATAACGCTGAATCATCCGAGAATGGACACTTCTATGAGCCTGATATTAGAACTGACCGATACAGTCCATACCGACATTCACTTGATTATGGTCGTTACGTTTCGCTGTGACCGATAAGGCAGTTGCGACCGCCGGGCCGAGCGCTGAGCCCTTCCTCATTGGCTCTCCCGCATTGCGGCAATCCTCATGCAGGTAAGGTCACAGCTATACAGCTATGTCGTCAACTTCGTACCATGGTCGGTGAACATCATCCAAAAAGCAAATAAAGATCACGACCAACAAAATCGCAATTCATTCCAGTTCACATTCTCAATCAACAAGAAAGAAATTCAAGCACGAGAATGTCCTCCCCAACATGGCAAACAGCCAACGGCGCGATCCTCCCAAAAAGTAAATCCGATCTCAGTCCAGATGGCAACTTCACAATCACCGCTCCACCCAAGACAGACATCTGGCGTCGAAGCAACGAAGACGATGTCTTCAACGCACCCACAATCTATCAAAAACTCAAAGCTTCAGATTTCAAATCTATACAAGTCACGGTCTTTGCACCTTGGAAAACACAATACGATCAAGGCGGTCTGATTTTGGCATTTGAACCTCAACCTGCATCGAAAGGTAAGCCCAGACACCTATGCTGTGTGAGATCTAATTAATGAGTTCCGTTAGAGAGCCCAAATGATGTTGACCCCCGAAAATGGATCAAAGCAGGAATCGAATACTTCTCCCTACAATCCGTGATCGGAGTTGTGGGGACAGATCGCTTCAGTGACTGGAGTTTGAGTCCCATGTCTCAAGAACATCACCAGAAAGCTACGTTCAAGATGGTCAGAGATGAGACTACGTTGTGGGTTTACGCTGCGCAGGAGGGTAGTGAGAAACTTTTGCCTATGAGGGAGGTCAAGTGGGCGTTTATGGAGGGTAGGAAGGAGAGTGAGATCTGGGTTGGTGTTTATGCTGCTAAGCCCAAAGCCGATGAGGGGGAGGATGAGGAGAAGGGTATTGAGGTTAGTTTTTCGGGGCTAGAGGTTGAGAGGGAGGGGGAGGAGTCGGAAGAGGGATGAGTTTAGTGTTCGTGGGGAAGAAGAAAGCGTGTGGGTTCTTCTGAACGAGGCTTATGCATGTGTGCGGCAGATCAGCACATTGAGGCCCCGGATTATGATATTATCATGTCCCTGACTTGACTGTCAGTCAGTTTACTCACTGCCCTTTGGAGAATCCTCGGTTCTCAAGTTCGCGAAGGAACCGGATTGAACAGAGCCAATGCAGATGCTCGAACGCAGCGAATGTTCCATCCTCAGTAGCCACAGCAATATACTCCAAGCTGGAGTGCTTGGCTCCCGCAATTTGCTGATACGGCATGTGTGCTGCCAATGGAACGAGCTGTCGCCAGTTTGCACTGCCCAATCTCGTGTAGGTCTTCTTGTGCCGCGTCGGGATAGGAGGAAGAGGCGTGAATACCGACAAGGCACGTTGGTATAGAGATGGCGAGGTTGCAGTGAGCAAGCATCATTCCTTCTTACTCCCGTCTCTTCCGCAGACAAACCGAGGTGCTAATTGAACAGTATGAAGCGGATACTACAAGAGGAGCAGGGCGGCGGTAACGAGCGGAGATGCGGCCGAGAATCCGACGGCCGTCGGCCGCTCGGAAAACCTAATTCTATCTTCACCTGCAGTTTTATTAGCAAGCCACGCGTGACTTCTCCAGTGCATATAATGCATCATGTCTATGCGGCTCATGATGGTTGTGGGACTACACCCTCACACTAAGTCAGTCATGGAGGAACAGCTTCTGGCCTGCCGCGACTTACTTCCCACAGCTGACAAACCCCCCTCTGCTAGCCATCTGTGATAGGGGCAGGAAATGTACCAGTCGGGCTCAAATACAGCGTTCGCGTGGAGCCAGCTCCCTCCCTGGTGAACCTGCGTTCGTGTGGACAATCCAGGCGAGACCGGAGACATTCGAGTAATCACTCCGGACCGGCCTCTTCTTCATACTGATTCGTATACCTCACCTATCACGATTGATGTGTTTGAGCACGCCACAGGAGGACTTGTCCGTCGTGAGTGGGAATGGATGCACTGGCAGTTGGATTACCCTCTACGAGCGCGGAATACAGCCAAGCTCTATGAGCAATTTGCTATGGGTACCAATGGGAGCTATCCGGACTTCGAGTATGCTGTCAAGAGGTATAAGGAGACTGACAAAGTGCTGGAACCATTTTTGAAGTCGTTCAATTAGCTAGGTAAGTATCACCTAGACGCCAGCAGAGAATTGCGCTGAAGCCCAGCTCGAATAGTGACTCATTTACACCCAAAACCCATTGCGCCTATAGATGCGCAGCATTCACGATCGACTAGAGTCGTCGCGAGCTCAATAGTGTGAGCATTTCATCCCCTCACAGACGCGCGATATTTGCTCTCGGCCGACTCTACCTAAACTTCTTGGCCAATGTATTCCATCAGAGCACAGTCGGACGCGAGGCCGCAGGTAAGGCCGCAGGTGAGCCTTCGCCGTTTGAAAGAAGCGCAGTGCATTTGCTGATCTCCGACTCATTGTATGTCGGCCTTGACGGCCGTTTCCTCTGTGGTCGAGGGAGTGCAGATAGGACAGTCGCTGGTCGTCTGGTATTCCTTGAAGGGTGTATCCTGCCACCATTGGAGCACGTCTTTGCTAAGGAGAGACTCGAGTTCGGCAAATGTCATTTCGTCGAGCTCTTCCTTGGTCTCGCCGTAAGCCTTGCCATCGATGACGAGCCCTTCCACGAATTCATTAACTCCACACAGGACATGGATGCCTACTGTGTTGCAGAGGCAGAGCGTCGAATTCTTGAGGAGTCCTGTCTGCTCCAGCAAGAACATAGCTGCAAGCGCAACAACCTCTTCATCGACGAGAGCTGAACAGCCTTGCCAAATCACGCAGTGGAGATGGCACTTATTCTTGCCGACCGTGTCTGTGATCCATTTCGCGACGATTTCAAATCTGCAGCCATAAAACATGAACATATTTCCCGCAGCACCATAGTATATGGACAGAGCTTCTTCGCGGACCTATTGCTTGTCAGAATTCGACCGTGGACGGCTTTCTCCCTCGAGACCGAATCGACATACCTGCTTGTTGGCGCCCAAAATCCCTGGAACAGGAGTTGGCTTGGCTGGCTTTGAGTACCCAATGAGTCTTGGACCCTTGCCCACGAAGATGTATTGGTGTCTTGGATCCTGATGTCGAGTTTTGGCGCCGTTAGTGCGGAGAGTCTTTCGTGGGCCGCATTTATCTCCATCCCTGGGACGAATCTTTGGCCGATATCTATCCTTGACAGTCAGCGTCAGACAAGTGACTTGATCGCGCCTCAATACGTACACATCCACGTCCGTGGCAAGATCGTAGATCTTGTTGCGCAGCTCTGCCGAAAGCCTCATGAATGGAAATGGCTGATTACCGCGACTTGGATGATCAGGCTGGGCAGCGGCGAGGCGATCGAGGTATGCTTTGTGCTTCTCGTCTGCTACGTAGCCTTTCTGATCCTCATCGTAGTAACGCGGTAGAGCCGTGGAGACGATGTTGAAGTTCGGTGGGGACATTGCGTCTATCTTGGGGACGATTTGGCGTTGATTTTAATTGACTTGGAACAATCAGGAAGCTGGCCTCGGATGAGCAGTCTTCTGGTGTGCATGAGAATGTTGAAGCTTTAGGAATGGGCGAGGTCAAAGTGTGGTGGGAGCCTAAGGTGCGCTTCACTCCTGTCGACGTCTGCATGGACCAAGTACAAACGCAAGTCTGCTCCACCTCGCGCAAGACACCTTTGCGCCTGCACAAATTCTGCGCGCGAATGCTAAAGCACTTCTCGCTCCGTTGCGTTCGAGCCATGGGCGGACCTTTGACCACCACCATTACTGAACCCCTCGAGCGTCTCCCACAAGAGATTTACGCCATACATAATCTATGGCGAAGTCTTCTCCATCCCAGGAGCTGCCGCGAAAGGCTATCGTGTCGCCCAGCACTGCTCCTCCGGATTAACAAGGAGACTCAAGCTTGATACAACAGATCTCACTACTGCAATATGAACGTATCAACATCATCGAGAGGTGGCTCGAGTCGCTCTCTGCCGAACAGCTCGATCTGGTCGTCAGATTCTCATGCCAGTACACCAACAAGCACACGACCACGCTTCAAAGCAAAATCGTTTGAGGACAGTACCCGGTTGTTTTTATCAGGGAGATGAGGCTCACGGAGCAATGGCTCGAGAAAATGCCTAGGCTTGAGCTTCGCGCTTCACGCTTCACGCTTCACGTTTCAATGCCTCATTGTCTCTTGTAAGACGAGCCCGAACGGATTCCCGTCAATTTACTGACTGGACTGTAGGAATCTCTGAGTCGATGCAGAGTCGCACGTGCTGTTGACAAGAACCGAATCACAGCAGAATGGCGCTGAGCAGAAATAATGCGACAGTGGCTATAGTCGCTCCTTTGCAGTTGTGGGTCTATTCTTGTAACATTCCGCATGGAGGGTTTCAAGCTTGTTCTGACTTATGCTGTACAGACGTACGACAGGCAACTTGAAGACCCACGAAGCATAAATACGTCCGGTCTACTACCTTATAACGAGGGCAGTCAATGTCTCAGAATAAGCAGCATTGCAACGATCCTGCCGCAGTGCCGCCTATAAGCGCGTTAGATCCGGCCTTGCTGCCGAGAGAGGAAGGTCGTTCTGCAATCAGGCTTGGCTTGCCTTGGTCCTCGCGAATCAGCCGGTGACGTGACGAGGTGCTTCCGAGTGACAAGAAATGCCAACATCGACCACTGCATGACTAGATTACAGGAACGAGAGCACAAGAGATAGCTGTCGGTTGAGTAACGGTCAATGTCTTTGGCAAGCATATATATGCGAGCCCATCAAGATTCTCGTCTGAGATGCTCCCATTTCTCACGAGGCTGTGGCTGACTGAGGTGGCTGCTCTGAGCTTGACACAGATATTGGTACCGAAATTGCCACAGCAATCAAAGGCGGCACAGAAGATTTGTTCATCATGTATGACTTAAAACGCTGTCTTTCCAGATGCGTTTGGCTGATGCTTTAGCAGAGGTCCGGCCAAGGACTGAATACCGCATTCCTGAGCGCATCATTTCTATGCAGAGCTTCACGATGCCACCGAGCTGGACTTTCGCGACAACAATCCTCGCCGCTATTGCTACTGCTCAACACTATGGAAGGCCCAGATATGATGGCTTAAATGCAACGCAAATCTCACAGCGACTGCAAGACTCAATCACTACAGAAGGGTATTGCGGACTATATTCATGTTGTGTCCTTCGCTGACTTGTCGTAGGTTGATGGACAATCTCCGCGTCCTTGACGAGATCGCCACTGCGAATGGTGGCAATAGGGCATTTGGTCTTCCTGGTTTTGATGCATCTCGAGACTTCGTCTTGTCCAAGCTCTCAAGCTCTACCAGTTGGACATCCTGGACGCAAGATTTTCCAGCTCTATACAATGATGTTGTTTCGATCACGTTCAGGGTCGGAGAGACAGACTACTATGTGTTCGGACCAACGTACTCACCAAGCACCTCTGAGGAGGGCGTCACAGCGCCTCTTGTCCTAGGGCCGAATGGTACCGATGCGTGCACTGTTGATGGGTATTCAGGCTTTGATGTTCAGGACAAGATGGTTCTGGTTCAGCGAGGCACCTGTCCTGACAACACAACTATTGCTGGTCGGATCAGAGCGGCAGCCGCAGCAGGAGCGCAGAATGTCATATTGTACAACAACGTGCCAACAAAAGTCACCGGTGGTACTCTCTCAGCCCCAGATCCGGAAGGCTATGTATCTAGCGGATTCATTAACCAGGACGATGGCGAAGCACTGAAAGCGCGATTAGAAGCCGGGGAGGAGATTGAGGCCTACTTTCAGCACACCCAGACCATTGAGGAGAAGATTACGCAGAACGTCTTCGCCGAGTCTATCGGTGGCGACCCCCAAAATGTGATCATGATGGGTGCTCATCTCGACTCGGTCAAAGCTGGTGCCGGGATAAATGATGACGGCAGTGGAACGACACTGCTTCTGGAGATCTTTGACGGTCTGCAGAGCGAAAAGAACATTCGCAACAAGATCCGCCTTGCGTGGTGGGGAGCAGAAGAGAATGGTCTCGTGGGCTCGAAGTTCTACACTGCAAGCATCAATAACACCGAGGACGCCGACAATCTGCTTCTCTACCTCAACTTCGACATGGTCTCCCGTGGATACTATGGTGTCTTCGATGGCGATGGAGATACGCATGGTCTCGCTGGTGCTCCAGGCTCTGATGTTATTGAAAAACTTTTCGTCGCCTACTTCACCAGCAAAGGCATTAATGTAACCGCAGCAGTGTTCACTGGTGGAAGCGACTACGCTTCATTCATGTCGACACTAGACAAGCCAGTGGGAGGACTACATACCGGCACTGGAGTGGCTCAAGACGATTGCTATCACCAATCTTGTGATGTGTACAACAACACGAATCCTGGTCAGCTCACCACAAACGCTAAAGCTACCGCCCATGTGCTTGCGATTCTGGCTACTAAAGGGCATGAGATCATTCCGAAGGGACAGACGAGAGCTGTGAGAGATCTCTCATTCGATGAGAGAGCATTGGGTACTGTTGACGATACCGAACTATTCCCATGGACGCTGGTTGATGGCGAGAGACATTTGTGTGGTCACGACCTCTGATGGTCGTTTTGATCTATCGGTCAAATAGCAATGGATGGGAACTAAGGTACAGTCACGAGCATATGCCTGATAAGACCCATGCACGATTTCTCGATACAGTATGTTCCCTGCACTCTAACCCGATTGGTGGTCATTTTCCCACCAATGTCAAACAGGCCAAGTGACGAAGGATTGTTACAGTCGACAAGTGGAGAGTGCATCCAGTTGCATAGAGAGGTCAGGAGTGGAACTGCGATCTACCATACCTTGCTCAACGCCACCACGACTTAGCTTTTGCTTACCAACACCATCACGGTCATGAGAGGCTTCCATATCTTATGCTCCCTGAGCAGTATCACCTGTATTCTGGCCGCAGAGCCCGGAGCAAGCCTTGTGCCCTACTCGGAAAGGTCACTCCAAATTGCTAGCTACGAGCAGAGATGGAGACTGAAGCAGCTAGGCTCGCTGGCCATCTCTAGGACTTCTATCGATTTGTGCGCAATTCTACTTGGCTAGGTGGAAAACAGGAGTATAGCGGGCTCAATGAAGCCTTTCCATACTGGCTCAACGGGCTCGTTCCACTGGCATACATCTTGGATGATCAGCGACTGAAAGATCAAGTGCACAATGCGACAGACTATCTCTTGAAGAACATGATTGCCAAAGATGGCTGGATCGGTCCTGAGACTGGTGGTTACCGCTTGATTTGGGCCCGGACGTTGATATTCTTCGCTTGGACCTCTCTCGTTGATGCGAACAAGACGTATGAAGAACCAATTGTGACTGCTATGCATAATTTCAACGAATTGATGCTCTCCATGTTGAGAAACAATGGAACTAGTCTGGTCGAGCAAAAGGGTGGTCTGCTCAATGGTGCATATTTCTTTTGGCACAGGAGTCGGGTTGCAGAAACCATTGTGAGTCTGCAGTGGCTTTATGATAAATATCCTCGCGGGAAAGAAAAAGAATTGCTGGAGAGCATGGAACTCCTGCATCATTATGGCTATAAGTGGGAAGACTGGTACGTTAATGGCACTTACGCCTTCAAGGACTTGTACAAGCTTAGCGAGAACTTCACGCACGACAACTTCCAATTCCTGTATGGCGTCAACGTTGGAGAGGCTCTGAAAGCCCCGGCGGTGATTAGGAGATATAATTACAACGACAGTCTGATCGAGACGAACAGGAATAGCTTTCGGTGGACGATGGAATGCTATGGAGCGCCTTCTGGCACTGTCATCGCTGACGAGCGACTCGATGGCCTGCAGCCATTCTATGGTGCTGAGACATGCACATCTGTCTAAGTCATGTTCTCTGCTAGCTGGAGCTATCGCGCACTTGGTGAAAACTTCTACGCCGATGGAGCTGAGCTCGCTGCGCACAATGCGCTACCTGGAGCCATGACAGGAGACTAGGTAAGTCTGTTGGATTCAAGGCATGTACCATGTCTGAGACACTTGCTAACCTTGTACCCTTCGGTTTTTGTAGTAGGCTTACGTGTACGTGTCGCAATCGAATTAGCCGTTCTCTAAGAACCTGTCGTAGAGCCCATTCTACAACGTCGATACGACGGGCTAGACGTATGGCCTAGAGCCAAATTGTGAGCGACGCAAATATTGATATACAATGTAGCTTATATCGATACTGATATGTTACAGTTCCTTGCTGCACAGTCAATCACCCTTAAGGTCTACCGAAGTTTGTCTAAGCAGCGTACGTTACAGTCGGAAATCGAGGTCTGCTTTATGCACTTCTTAGTCTAGCCTCTGTCACTACAGAGGTAGGTCGTGGCTTGGGAACAGTTGACTGCAATACTAATTATCCATTCGAAGACGTGTTCGTCTATACGATTAAGGCCTAGCAACCCTTCGACTTTTACATCCGACAGCCGGACTAGGCGATTAGGTACACACTCTCCCATTCGGCTCCGGAGCACAGCGAGCTATCATTCGACAACGAGAGTAGCTTGCACAAGATCCCTCTTGCAGCTGGAAATTCGACGGTCATGTACACCATCACTACGGGGACCAGAGTAGAGCCAAGAGTCAACGATACCGTGGCAGCATATCGCGGTGCACTCCTCTACGCTGCCGAAGTCAAGGCGGAGATAACAATGACCGGTCCACACAACTTTTACAATTTCAAGCTGAATCCGGATGCCTATAAGCCACTAGAAGTGAAGGACTACGTAATGCTGAACGCTTCGGAGTGGAATATTGCCGTTAATCCGAGCACGATAAGATACAATCCGCGTTCTGAGGTCGTGACTGCTGACGGTGACATCCCTAAGATAGCGCCACTGCTATCGCCAATTTTTGCTGCTAGGACACCACCTATACACATGACTGGAATGGCCGCTGCTAAATCAGAGTACCCCGGATGGACCCGTACCACTGAAGGACAGGGCTTGCAAAGGCGCAGTATTTGACGCCAAGCTGGTTTCTTATGGCAGTGCCAACAAGTTACGGATGACGTAGTTGCCAGTCATTGACCTAGTAGGCAATATTAAATGAGATAAAACGATTTGCCGAATGTAGTAGGAGAACACGCCCACCTTAATGCCCGGAAGCCTCGTAGCATTCACGCAGTAATAATCAAGACTTGTCAAATGCTTCAATTGACTTTAGAATCATTTTAGTGGTTATGGGATCAGAACGACAGGATATTTCTGACAATAGCATGTCGGGATGTTCCTTGAAAGTCTTGTCTTGAGGTGGTATATAGGGCAGCGCAAGATAGTGGTATACGACCCCAGACAGGCCGGGGTTTGCGTCGGTACTTCGTCCGGTTCTTTGACCCTAGTATGCAATAATGGGGCAGCCTAGTACGCCGAAGTTGAAGAAGGTCGGCTTTAGGCTAATTTTAGGAATTTCGGGAATCCTAAGAATTGGTTAGTTTGTTTAACTTGTAGTAGTACCCTTTATATATACTATCTCGAGCAAATATCGATAGGAGTACTTAGTCGTCGCTCTCGAATAAATTATTTCAAGCGGCGAAGATGCTAAGGCAGTAGTAGTAGCAATATAGTAGAATGTTTAGACGGCAGGGGGCAGAAAGCTATACTAAGCCGTTTAGATCGGTCTATTATTATAGCGATAGTAAGGTCGGCAATAGTCGATCGCCCTATAGGTAGAGATCTAGATTCTATTAGATATTAGGGTAATTCTAAGCGTAATATAGGCGCAAACGGATGGTTGTAGCTGCTAATATAGATTGTTAACGTTTTAAGTGTTCTTATTTAAATATTAAAACATTAAAAGATTGAATATAAGTTTAGCAACATTTAGGCTTATACTAGTATTCGGACAACACTTATATCGTATAACGCTACCTTATACGCCTTTATCCGCGTTACCTATTAATCTAAAGAGTCGTTTGTTCCGTATCGTTCGTAGGATAGTATATATCTATATTATTAAACACCTTACCTTATATATATATTAGGGTAGATAGTATCGCGAGCAATATTGTAACAACCGTAGAAGAGAAGAAACAGGAAGAAACACAAAGGATAAGTTATTGTGCTTATACTAAAGCGAGGCTAGCGAACAGTAGTATATTAATTAATAATATATTTAAAAGGGTAGAGCGGCGCTAGCGGACACGCGCAATTGCGTACTATCGAGCAAGCGTAAGACTAACTAAACAACAGCGACTAAGACTAATACCCTAACTACCTAATCTCTTATTGTTATCGTTATCGTTATCCTTATCGTTATCCTTATCGTTATTGTCGGCGGCGGCGGCGGCGGCGGCATAGCAGGGAGTAGTAGGGCCGGACTAAGCGAGAATTAGCATTTCTTACGTAATTCGAGTCTAGAGTGCGAGTCTATACCGAATGCTAGCGCTATTTCGCGTCTGACCGTATAGAATCGCTGCTACTAAGACGAGGACGTCGTACTCGTTCTACTAGACGAGCGCGCGGCGCGGCGAGGGCGAGACGGCTAAAATACCTAGTTAATATACAATCGAATTCGATCAATTTAGAGCTTAACTTACTACCGCGTATACTGCCTTTAGTACCGCTTACGTAGTCCTTATATTTAAGGCAATGTTATAGAAGAGGGTAAGAGGGTATATACGATACCTAGTTAAAGGAGAAGGAAGTAAAGAAGAGGAAGAGTATATCGTAAAGTGTATTATCCCTAGCAGCGTAAAGTTGTATTATAAAAAGCCTAGTATTATAGAAGTGAAGTACGTAAAGGTTATTGTAAAAAGCCTAGCATTATATAAGTAAGGTACGTAAAGGCTATTATAAAAAGCCCGGAGTTAGCGAAAGTTCGAATGCCGCTCCTTAGCTACTACGTACTATATAGCCTCCTCGGTTTACCGACGGATAGTAGAAGTTAGTAAAAGTTAACGAAAGTTCCTAAGATATACAAATTAAGCTAATAAATTGCGGATAGGGGAGGGAGTTCGGTTATCGTATCGTCGGCTCCGTTCTTCTAGTACTAAGATCGGTATACAAATCGTCTGTTCTGTTTCTTAGCTACCTAGTAGCAACTTTTACTAACTTTTATTGTCCTACTAGGTCCGCTATTCGAACGCCTAGTCTATAGCTCTTATTATTGTCCTTTAAATCCTAGTCCTTTAGGTCCTTCCTAGGTCCCTAAGCGCCGAATATATGCTATAGTGCCGGTAGCTGCGGTATAATAGGCATAGTATAGTAGTGTCGGCCTTCTTCGAAATACGGTATCGTCTTAGTCGGAGATAGGTTCTTAAAGCCAGTGCGGTCGTCGCTGTCGTACTAGACATCTTTACTAGCGCGATTTTACTAGGAATACGCTTATTCGACGTATCTCGTACTATATACGTTACTAGCGTGCTATATATTGTTAGAGTGCTGTCGTGTCGTTTGAAAGTCGTAAAGTCGGTATTATAATCTGCGGAATCCCGGGTCTTAGCGGGGCTTAACAATATTAGGCGCGCGGATAATACCTGCTAAGCTGCGCTGCTAATCTTTACGCAGTAACAACTTCTACGCATCGGAAGGCTATTAATAGAATCGTCCCTATAATAACGATATAGCCTTTACCTTTTTCTCGTATAAGCTAGCTACTTACCTAGATCATTCGCCGCTTAATAGTATAACACTATTATATACGACAACAAACCAATTGGCCTAGTTCTCTTTTCCTATAGCCGTTGCCCGTAGCGAGCGATGAAAACAGGTTAGTATACTCTCCCGACATCCTAGAAAGTATAAGACATCGATACGAGCAACGTACTAGAATGCAAGACGACGCCGAATATAGAGACATGCCCCTACGGCCGCCGGCCGTAGGTCTCGTAGGAATAGCTAGTCTAGTTAATTTCTAGCACCCCTAGGGTTCTAGCAACCCTTAGCACTCCCGGCCGCAATAGATCTTGCTAGCAGGAATAGCTTATCTAGTCAACTTTTAGTACCCCGGCCGTAGGCCTTGTACTTAGGCCTTTTATTAGCAGCCCCTAGCAACTTTTAGTATACCCGCGGGCCGCGGCAGCTCTTATACTAGGAACTTTTACCTTTACTATTAACTTTTAGTAACTTTTAGCGCCCGGCGGCAGGTCTTATATATAGAACCTTTATTATTAAACTCTAGCAACTTTTAGCGCCCGGCGGCAGGTCTTATATATAGAACCTTTATTATCAAACTCTAGCAACTTTTAGCGCCCGGCGGTAGGCCTTATACTTAGAACCTTTATTAGCAACTTTTAGCAACTTTCGGCAACTTTTAGTACCCCCGGCGGGCGGTAGTAGGTCTTACGGGAACAGCTAGGCCCGTTAACTTCTAGCACCCCTAGCGGTAGTGCTATAGTAGGTATAGTATCCGAGGCTCCGTTATATACTCCGCCGAGGGCTGCGATTACGCCGACTAGTAAGTTAGCGTAACTAACGAAACCCCGGATTAGCAGCAGGTCTGCTACCTTATAGCCGGAATAGCTATTCTAGCTATCTTTTAGCAACTTTTAGCAACTCTTAGCAACTCTTAGCAACTCTTAGCAACTTTCAGCCCCCCGTACAATCCGGTCGAGGATTAGAACGTTTACTATACCTTATCTACGAGTTAACTTCGATTATTTTAAAGATTAGATACGTAGACAAGTCTTAGCTAGCAAGAAGTAAGAGGATATTCGTACGGAGCTATATAGGACTAGATACTTAATTAGCCGTATACAATTTAAGGAACGATTAAAGCAATAGCAGATTTCCGCGCCCGGTCGAGCGCCGAGCTATCGTCGATATTTAGAGGATTAGCTAAAGCTCCTAGTATATACGTTCTTTTATAAGTATCGCATCTTAGATAAGCAGGCTATAGAGTACTTTAAGTATAAGGGTATCGATATCGGCCTTATACGCTATCGAAGCATCCGAAACGAACTTAGTATAACGTATTCTCCCTGCTCTACCTTTATATATTAATTATGCTAGGTCTCTACCGCTAGGTCGCTCGGCCCCTCTAGAGGTAGCATCTCCTTAATATTGCTACTATTGTATAGAAAGAGATACTGCTCGGAGACTATAATAACTTCGGTAGAGCAGCATTATACGACGTTCTTTATGCAAAGTATAGTATCTCAAGCCGCGAACGTTTATAGCAAGCTGTATTATATCTTAATCCTGCTACCGTTAAGCGAAGAAGACATAGTACGGTACGTAACTAGACTAGCTAGACGAATCCGGGCCCTAACTACGCTATCTCTATAGACGCCTACTACAAATTCGAATACTTCTACTTCGTAATTTATACCGCCGTAGATACATAGTCTAGGCGGGTTATATAGATCTATATTAGAATATCCGCTCGCACCGCGGTTTCTATAATAGTATAGTATATAGCCTTTGTAAAGCAATATCGAGGTATGCTACTTATTCTATAGAGTAACCGTAGTACAGAGACCGTTATAACAGCCGATACGTATATAACACTTCGGCGTGCTCTTTGCGAAGACCCGTAGAACGGCGTCGTTCTTACGTTTAGCGATATATTCCGGTATAGGACTAGTCGTATAAACTAGCGTATCGAGACATTCTAGCGTTAGCTAATACGTGCGACTAGAAGATAGCGAAGGTACTTCTATAACTTGCACCTTTAAGGTATATACCTTAAGGATTTTAAGTACGACCGGATCGCTATACTCTTTATATATATGCCTATTATAAAGGCTGTAGTATACGGATTTGCGAACTACTAGAACCACTACCGCATTCGAAAGCAGCAAGGAGAGCATATCGTAGCCGGTATACCTAACCTAAACTAGCGATACCTATATAGTAAGGGTGCTATACAGTTTATAGTTGAAGTACCCCTAGAGTTACTAGAGCTAATAGAACGAGATCTTTCCGGATTCGATTTAGAAGAGTACCTTCCGCTAGATACTATAGAATAGTGCGAGGACCGTCTTATAGAAGAGGGCTTTGTTCTACCTATATATAAAGGGCTACGCCCTAGGTAGAAAGCGCTAGCACTTAGGCATTCGGCCTACGCGACTCTAACCCACTACTTAGCGCTTGGCGTACCGCACAAAACTATTCGGATTCACGTAGATAGACTTAGCTCTTTATCGAACACTATTAAGTCTTATATCTAGTATCTGCGTACGCGTTGCTTACCCGTAACATTAGGTTCGATCTTTATTATAGAAAACGCTAAGGTTCGCTAGGAACCCGAGTAAGATAGCTAGGGGAACGCTGCCCCTGCTACGCTAGAGATAACTAGGGAGGAGATTTATCGCGCCTTCGAGAGTCTCTATACTAGGCAATAGACAATAGAAGCCTAGCTACAAGCTACGCGCTCCGCGCTCTAATAGGCGGAAGCATCTCGCTAGGCCGGGCCTGCCGAAACTAGTACGATACGAGATTAGTCTACGAACGAGATCCTAAAAGGACTCCTAGAAACCCTCTCGGCTACTAGCTAAAGTATAACGGCGTTACGCGAATAGAAGCTACTATCGTAGGACGGAAAAGCTAAGACGTTTCGGGACTACCTACTACGACTAAGAAGTTCGTACCGAGTTCGTTCCGGGTTGAAACTAAAGCTCTCCGAAGATTACTACTAAGATACTATCTACGATACTCTGCCGGCGAAGGAACGCGCTAGGATGCGCTACTTCTAAGAAAGAGGAAGCCTTACGAAAGGAAAGGACCCCGAAGCTTTCTTCTAGTAACTCGAGGACGTCTTCGCGGACAGCAACGAAGCCGCTAAAGCACTAGAGCAACTCTAAGCCCTAAGGCATACTTAGGGATAACCCTAGCACGACTACTAGCTAGAATTCGACGGCCTCCTACTAAGCGCAGGCGGAGACCGCTAGACCGACGACACGAAAATCGGATACCTAAAGAACACCTTCTCGAACGCGGCTAAGACTTATACCGCCGCCGTACTAAAGATTAAGGATTACTACCTCTACGTAGAGGAAGTCGAGCGAATTATAACGAACCTCGAGTCGACGGACTAGTTTAAACAAGCTACGAAACGCTAGTAAGAAAGGAAGAAGGAGACCGCGAGCCCTTCGGTAGTTATCCTACCCTATACGGCTCCCGCGGCGAACCCGAAGGTCGACTCCGACGGAGACGTAGTTATAAACCCCGCCTAAACGAACGCCTTCCGCAAGAAGAACCGCGGAGGCTAGCAAGGAATAGTAGGGAAGCCTAGGGCTAAATAGGTCGACTCTATAGAGAGAGAGAAACGTAAGGAGAAGAGGCTCTACTTCCGCTACGGAGCGAGCGGGCACCGTATTCGCGACTGCCCGTACGTACCGCCGGTTCAACCTACTAAGATTAGCGTTACCTCCGTATAACCTATACTAGAAGACGCGGAGGATTAGTCGGACTTAAGCAGTTCCGACTCGGGAAAAGAGTAACTCTCGCTTAGCGTTAGGAGTCGAGAGTAGACAAAGTACGGGTAAGGAAATAGGAAGAAGTCAAAAAGGACATAAACGGGAACCTTATATATATCGATATAGTCCTCGAAAATAACGTCGGAACTTCTGCTCTTATCGACGAAGGATGCTAGTACTACGCTACAATTAATGCGGGCTTAGCTAAAGGCCTCGGGCTTAGCTATATTAGCCGAGAGTCCCGAGAAGTAAAAGGAGCGTCGTCTGCGATATAGGACGCGAAGATTGTCGGAGTCGTCGCCTTCTAGATAGAAATCAACGGGTTCCGGTAGATAGTATACGCTTACGTTGTACTAGGATTAGCCTTCCCCCTTATCCTAGGGAACCTATAGAAGGCATATAATAAGGTTAGGACCGCGCCCGAAAAGCGTCGGTACTATTACGGGAGGGCCCGGTTTTAGGTTAACGAAGGACGTTACTACCGCGAATTCGATACGAGCGGGAATATCGCTACGATCGACGCTACTAGGAGCCTGCTTGCCGCTACAATTGCCGAGGATATCAAAAAGGCCCTAAAGACGAAAGAATATCCGACAATCGAGGAGCTAAAGAAAAAGCTACCTCCGGAGGTTCGCGATATAGCCGCGCTGTTTTGTTAAAGGGAAGCCGACAAGTTAGCGCCCTATCGCCCCGGTATCGACTATACGATAGAACTCCGTAAAAACCTAGACGGATCCTAGCCGCAACTCCCTTAGGGCCCGCTCTATAGCATGTCGAAGCAGGAGCTCTTAGTCTTACGAAAGTTACTCGACGAACTCCTAAAGAAGGGATTTATTAGACCCGCGAACTCCGAGGCGGCGGCGCCCGTATTGTTCGTTAAGAAGCCCGGCGGTAGGCTCCGGTTCTGCTACGACTATAGGGCGCTTAACGCTCTAACGAAGTAAGACAGATACCCCCTCCTACTAATCCCGGACACTATAAGGAACCTTACGGAGGCCCGGTAGTTAACTAAGGTTGACGTAGTCTCGGCCTTTTACAAGATTAGAATAGCAAAAGGATACGAGTATAAGACGGCCTTCCGGACTAGGCTAGGCTCGTTCGAATAGCTAGTGTGCCCGTTTAGTTTGTCCGGAGCCCCGGCTATATTTTAACGGTATATTAACACTCTCCTACGGGAGTATCTAGACGACTTCGCGTTAGCGTATATAGACGACGTAGTTATCTACTCGAGCGGGTTAAGGAAAGACTATTTCCGTAAGGTAAGGGCGGTTCTTAAGAAGCTTTAGGACGGAGGCCTTTACCTCGATATTAAAAAGAGCGAATTCGCCTAGAAAAAGATTAAGTACCTAGGATTTATCGTCTACGCCGACGGAGGAGGAGTGTTAGCCGACCCCGAAAAGGTAGAAGCCGTACAAAAATAGGTAGCACCTAAGACCTAAAAGGAAGTTCGTCGTTTCTTAGGATTTACGAACTACTACCGCATGTTCGTACCGAACTATTCTAAGATCTCCGTACTACTAACCGCGCTTACCGGCAAGGGAACCCCGTTCTCCTAGGGAGAAGAGTAGGACAAAGCGTTCGAGACGCTAAAGGACAAATTCTGTCGCGCCCCGGTACTTGCCTAGTAGGACCCGTCCCTTCCTACCTTTCTTAAGACGGATTATAGCGGGTTCGCGATTAGGGGCGCCCTCGTCTAAGAAAAGGCGGGAATCCGCCGACCGGTAGGCTTCTTTTCGAAGAAACTAAATAAGGCGGAGATTAATTACGACATCTACGATAAGGAAATGCTCGCAGTCGTATCTAGTATTAAGTTTTAGGACTCCGAGCTGAAATTATATAGCCTCTTTACGATTTAGACGGACTATAAGAACCTAGAATACTTTATAGTAAAGCGCTAGCTGTCCGAAAGATAGATCCGATAGTAGGAAGAACTAGCGAAGCACTAGTTTACCTTAGTCTACCGGCCGGGAATCGAAGCTATTCTGCCGGATACCCTATCGAGGAGAGAATAAGACACGTTAGGCTAAGACGATAAGCTTTCGAGGTTCCGGAGATTCTTAGAGCCGGACCTCTCCCTAAACTAGCCGGAAAGCGTCTAGATTTCTAGTGCTACTATCCGTAGCTTCCCGCGTATAATAAAGGCGAGCTCGGTGTCCCTACTCGCGAACGAAACGGAGCCCGCGTAGCCTTCGCCGGAAAGCGCTAAACTATTCTAGGACCTAGAGATAAACGATATATAGAAGAGCATTGTCGAGAAAGATACGGTATACTAGACGGTAGTACGGAAAGTCCGTAAGGGATATAGAACATTGCAACCGGAAATTAAAGCAAAGATTCAGATCGGGGATTATATAATAGACCCTAAGGGATTCCTTCGCTACCGCGGCAAGCTCTAGGTTCTAGGAGCCCTAGCGACGACGGAAACCGAATACAAAGACATAGGGGCCGAGGAACTATAGTAGGACGTGCTACGTACGAAGATTATCTAGTCGATCTACGACTCGCCGCTCTACGGCTATCTTAGCCGGGATTCTACTACTTCTATACTAGGTCGCGACTTTTATTAGCCGCTATAGTCGAAGCAGGTACGGCAATTCCTACAGAACTATAACCATTGTAGACGCAATAAGGTATAAAGGGAATACAAACACGGCCTCCTAAAACTACTGCCGGTACCCGACCGTTTCTTCTAGGAAATCTCGATAGACTTTATAACTAACCTGCCGGAGTCGGATAGGAACCGGTATCTGTAGGTTATTAAAGACCGCCTTAGCAAATAGATCGCCCTTATCGGTACTCCCTCTATAAAGGCAGAGGAATACGCGGTTTTGTTTCTAAAATACTAGGTTAGGCATTACGGACTGCTACGTACTATTACTAGCGATAGAGGTACGAATTAGACAAGCACTTTCTAGAAGGAGATGTGTCGACTACTTAGCGTAAAGCAGAGGTTAAGCTCCGCCTACTACCTACAAACCGACGGGGGTCCGGAGCGCGCAAACTAGGATATATAAGCGTACCTACGGAACTACATTAACTAGATACAGTCCGATTAGAACTAATAGCTTCCTACGGCGGAACTAGCGTTTAACGGTAGATACTAAGCGGGGCTAGGAATAAGCTCTTTCTTCGCGACTTACGGTTACGAATCTACCTCCCCCGTTACGTTAGAAGAGGACCTAGCGATCGACCGACGGCTAACTGCGGCGAAACGGGCGGAGGAGTTCGTAGACAAGATTAAGAAGATCTTAGATCTATACCAAGTATAGATAGCGGAAGCCGTATAGAAACAAGAGGATAGCGCGAATAAGACTAGAACTCTAGCGCCGGTATATCGTATCGGAGATAAGGTCTAGCTCGACCTAAGGAACTACTAGACTAGCAGACTAAAGAAGAGCCTCGACTCGAAACACGCTAAGTATACGGTAGAAGAGGTATTGTCGCCTATCTTAGTACGACTCTCGGGGATACCTAGTAATATTCACCCGGTATTCTATACCGACCTTCTAAGACTCGCGAGCCGGGACCCCCTTCTAGGATAGGTAACCGACGACGAACAGCCGGACCCTATCTTATTCGAGACGCATAAAGAATAGCAGGTCGAAGAAATCCTATACGCCCGGAAAAAGAAGCGGGGCCGAGGACGGGAAGCACTCGTAAAATAGAGCGGGTACTACGAGCCTACGTAGGAACCCCTAGACTATATCGCGGATACCTCCGCGCTAGACGACTTCGAAGCGAAATATAGACAAATCGAGGAGAACGACGGGCCTCTAAGAGATTAGGAGAAGAGAGGAAAACGGAGGAAATAACGCGGCAACCTAGAGTTTTCCCGCGGAGTAACGGATTTATAGATTTTAAGGCTTTTTGCTAACTTCTAGAGTTTGGATTTTCTTAACTTATTCGACTTAGGTTTACTAGAACAGTAAAGGAGAGAAACATAATTTAGGATTAAGAAGAATTTCATTTAGGTATTTATAAGTAAGTATCGGGTCTCCGCCCGAAGTTAGGAGGTTACCTTAGGACTATAACAAAAGTAATAATAACACATCCGAAACTACCTAGAGCCTACTAGAAAACCCCCGGAAACCTTTACTCCTCTAGCGGACCTATACGATTATTGCCGAGACGGAGGGCATTTAGAACGCTACTAGAAAAGAGAGGTTAGCGAAAGAAAGTCGAAGGGTAACGAGGAACTTACGTCTAACTCTATTAAGCTACGACATTAGCGACGGTGTTCGTTACCTCCGAGGCGACAGCGCTAAAACAACCGGTTAGCGGGGGTTTTGTCGCGGGAAACGGGAATCTTACCTAGATAACAACCCCTACGGCTAGAGAGACTTAAGGGCTTTCTATACCTTAAGAACCTTAAGAAGCTCGGAGTGCTTCTCGGCGACATTAGCGCGGGTCGCGCGGGTATAGTTAGCGTAGGCTACGTAGGCCATTTAAGGACTAAGTAGTTAGCGAGCGATTAGGTAAGGGAATCGCGATATCTTATAGTAGGGCGCAAGCAATTCTCTTACGAGCGCAATTAGCGCAAGCTCTCGAGCTAGAGGGCTTAGGAAAAGTTAGCGGACCCCGCGACAAATTAGCCGGAAACCTTATAGCTTAGTCGGCGCAGTCTTCGCCGGAGTTGCAGCAACTAATATAGTAAATTCGACGAGCTATCTACGAAAAGTTAATTTTGCGAAGGGAACCGAGGAGGAAGGGGAGGGACTTACGGTATTAGTAGTAGTAATAGTAGTAGTAGAGGTATATATAGAAAAAAGAAGAAGAAGAAGAAGAAGGGAGAAATATTAATACTTATAGAAAGCGATATAGAAGTAAAGGTCGCGAAAGCAACGGAAGGCGCGAGTGCAAGTAAGGCGCGTTTTAGGAAGGGGTAAACAGGTAAAAGAGCGCGGTTTAGCAGTCGCGAAGAAAGTTACAGCCCTTAAAGCCTAGGATACGGCAACCCCGACCGGAAAGTAGCGGAAACCCCGATCGCGAAGGAGGAAACTACGAGCGCGTTACTCTAGAGAAGCTTAGATAAGTGCAGATCTAATAGTTAAAGTGATAGCGATAGAAACTATAGGGGGCTTTCTATCCCCGCTAAGGAAGGGGAGGAGGACGGGGGTAATATAAAGGGCTACGCCCTAGGTAGAAAGCGCTAGCCTTAGGCATTCGGCCTACGCGACTCTAACCTACTGCTTAGCGCTTAGCGCACCGCACAAAACTATTCGGATTCACGTAGATAGACTTAGCTCTTTATCGAACCTATTAAGTCTTATATCTAGCATCTGCGTACGCGTTGCTTACCCGTAACACTATACTGTCGAACGAGCTTAATCTAGATCTCAATTATATTTACCTTAAGGCCTACCTATATCTACGGGATAAGATTAAGTCGTATATAGAATTGGGATTTACCCTCGAGGAGTCTTACGTTCCGCTCTACGCTAGGTTCTAGGCACTAAATCCCAATAATCAGACGATCTAGGATAACGCGAATAAGCCTCTATTCGAGCCGACTTACGACGACCTACGATAGGAATTACAGAGGTTAATAGAACTCGATCGATAGGTCGGTAACAACTTTTTCACATTCGTAGTAGGGGCCTATCGGTCCAACGTAGACTTATCGGGGTCTAAGTCTAATACGGACTCTAATAAGCCTAGGTTATCTATAGGGTAACATCCTAATATAGCATAGAGCGTAGTAGTAGTTTCGGATTTAATACTAGCTATAGTAGCTAGCTACGGATAAGGCCTTTATAGTTACAGCGTCTAAGTACATCGGAGTGTAAGTAACTAGGCCCGGACTACTAAATAACAAGTTACTATTCGCTATAATAATCCTTGCTTCTCTAGGGTTTAGGGAATACCTACTTTTACTCCGATATACTTAGACGCTGTATATATATAATAGTTATTATATCGACCTTCTCGACAATTAGTCTACGATCCCGCCGGCCTTCTTCAAAATCCCTCGAACATTATTAGTTATTTAACATCTAGTATGTTAAACTTCGGAATCCTAGTATAGAAAGAGGGCAAACTATATACTAGAGGCGGCTTTATCTACGAAGAACGATTTAGTACAAATTTCGTGCCGAAATGCGAAGTATATAGGCTCGGCAACCTACAAATAACGAGCATAATCGTAGCGCTATAGATGTCGCAATAGCAGGGCTTATAGTAAGGACTATAGTAGCAAGACCTATAGTAGTAGCTAGGCCTCGATAGAGAAGGATTATCTATATCGACAATATAGTAGTTACCTACGCCCGGATCTTCCGCGTCTTAAGTATTAACGTAGACATATAGACAGAGGGCCGGGACTAGCTCTTCGCTTACCGGAAACTTCCCTTCGATCGGGACCGAAGCACTATCGCATATTACGAAAGGGATTAGGCGATAGAAACTACTAGCTATGTCTAACTATAGCCCTACTACTACGCTTAAAGGGATTAATTCGGAGAAGCTATTCTATAAAATTAAGCA